GACGGTCGGGGGAGGTTGCGTGGAGGCTGCCGTCGTGTCGCCTGCAGCGCCAGTAGTCCGGAGCCGTCGTGCTCTCGGTAGCCCAGAGAGCCTGCTGTGCCTGTCGCCCGTGGGTCCGTTGCTCTTGCCGCTCCTCGTAGCCGCCGAGCCAGTTACTCCAGTAGTCCGGGGCGCTGTCCCGGTAGCCACTGTGTGCGCGCTCCTGTTGTCCGGGGGGAGTGTGCGAAATGGATGGCGGGCGAGAGATGGGAGGGACGCGGGCGGGAGATGGGCGGGTCGCGCGACGGTTGGAGGGTGACGCACTGTTGCCTTGGGCAGATCCGCGACGTCTATAAGGAAATCGTGAGAAAATCGACTATAAATTTTCGAAAAAGGTGAAAGTCGACTAGCTAGGAAGTGACGCGAAATAGTCTTAAGGGCCCAAAATGTACTAGGAAATGTAGATTAGAAAGAAACGCCTAGGATTAGGCTCCGAATACCATGTTAAAGGGAAGCTTGAAGGAGCCATGGATGCCGTGAAAGAAGATAGCGAGAGAAAATTGTACTAGCAAAGTGTCGAGGTACAATTGAAGAAGGGAGCTGGAAACCCTTATTGAGCTTAAGGTGTGTTCAGTTTATGCTAAAGGCTACGAAATGAACCTAAATTGAACCCAAAAGTGTAACTCGCTCTAAACATGGCGAAATAACAAAAGAACACCATAATAATTACCAGAACGAGCTCTAACCTACTCCAACATGCCGCACCACAGGGCCGCGCTTCTCCAGGGGTGTAGTCACGAGGATCTTGTAAACCATATCTGACGAGATCGCAGCCGGGACCCCCTTCAACAGCACTTTGATGACATCTGGGTTCATTGCTTGCTCCTTAGAGTTGACCGGGTTTTCCAGGTGCTACCAATCTAGAAAAAGATTCTTGTCATCCACACAAGTATGCTCCACTTGGCGACACCAGACGAAATTCGCATCCACAGCCAACCGGAACGTAACCTGGAGCCTGCCGTAACGAGCCCTTGACAGGTAATCTGGAACTTCTGGAACTTCGTCGACTCCTGAACGTGTGCCGACAACGACTTCTTCCAAAGTGCCAGCAAACCCTTCAGCGTGTCGATGGTACGTGGGACCTCGCGTTTCTTGTCCTGCGGGATACGTAGTGTGATCGAGTAGCCCGTCTGAGCAGCAACTTCGCTAGAACAAACCGGATCCGGCCTCTCTTCCGGGTCATCGCTCAGGTAATCGTCATATTCTTTTTCGTCTTCCTCCACTACAGCAGGTTAGTCTTGGACATCGGCGGACGAAGCATCGTAATTCTTATTATTTTCTTCCCCCGCAGCGCTTAACTTCCCAGGTGGCTTGTCTTCCAGGTCCTTGAAACCTTGAGTCGCTAGCTTGGTTGCCAACGACACGAGCGTATCATTCGCAAAAGGTCCCAGGGACTCCTTAAGCGTTGGTTTTGGAGTGGCCAGTTCCGATTGGTGACCCTTCTCCAACGACGACAATCGAGCGTCACCAGTAGGGACAACATTAGGGAGTTGAGCAGCGAGCAAATCTGCCTTCCTCGGCGGACGACCCGTAGTGCGAGGATCACACAGAAAAAGCAGAAAACTTGCTAATGAAGAAAATTGTCTGAGCACATCCTTTTTTGCCTTCCGTTCCTTAATTTCCTTGGCAAGCGATAATCTCGATGTTCGTAGAAGAAACCATTGCTGACAGCGTAACACCTGTATAATGAGAAACCAATGCCAGCTGTAGAGAATTGGTAGGTAGGATGAGATCCATGACGCCTTGACAGGCCAGGCATTACGAGCACGCCATGTTTAGAGAAGCCTTGAGTTGTACCCTGAACCTCTGGTTTGCCAGACAAGCGCGTGGGTAGTAAAATGCTCGGTGCATAGGCACAAAACTTATACTCCCTGATACACGATGCCACGTAGATTCCGAAAATGTCCTTGGAATAGGCACAGAAAAGAAATTGCTAGACATTGGCTGCTTCAAAGTGCCCGACTGTATCCATGGCGGATGGCTGGCGGAGAGCTCCATCTCTTGAGAGATGTGGGAGTGGATTATGGGATGGGTGATTTCTATGGGGGGCCCAGCAGCCTTTACCTTCGCACATGCCCATTTGTCGAAATGCTGGCATCCGAGCGAGGCTCGCGACAGCGGGATCCATTTGGTCCCTTCCTTTTCGCTTTCATTCAGCAGCTTGTCATGGAGCCCACAATGAATGACTTTCCTGATCTCCTGTTCTTGAGCTATGCTGACGGCACTTATGTTCTTGGGCCACGAGTGTCAGAATCCCAACCACTAGACCATTGGGATAAAAGGGCTTGTTAAGTAGCGGGTCAGTGCGCCCATAACCCCCCAGGCCAACATGCCTGTAACCCTTCCCTAGGATCAATCGGGGATCACCAGTGGACCTCTGACACCCCCCCGCACTGGGATGCCCGAAGTGCACACACTGGGATTCGAACCCGAGACCTTCGCTCTGATACCATGTCAGAATCCCAACCACTAGACCATTGGGATAAAAGGGCTTGTTAAGTAGCGGGTCAGTGCGCCCATAACCCCCCAGGCCAACATGCCTGTAACCCTTCCCTAGGATCAATCGGGGATCACCAGTGGACCTCTGACAACGAGAGCGGGTGTTGGCGGCGTATAGCATCCTGCGGGAGCGGTTGGAGTGGGTGGGCCTAAAGGTGCAATGGCACAAGTGTAGGATGTGGGAGCTGGGAGAGACGGAAACGTCGGGAGATATTCCGTTCGGGATGCAGCAATCTTGGACTGGTTTAACAGTGGTGAGAGTTCCTATCTGAGAGGAGAACTGGGAGGTTGGCGCTTGAGGGATCGGCTTACGCAGCTGCAGTCACCGTTTTGAATCACCCCCAGATTGCCTCCCATCTACTGGCTGTCGCCGTGTCTGCGCGCCCGCTTTTCCTCACTCGCACTGTCCCCCCTCGTCCCGAGGTCGTTGACGTTTTTAGGGATTGGGGTGGTTCTTTGGATGAGTGTTTTGAACAACTTTTACCGCATGACACTTGGGACTTCAGCTCTGACAGGGCGCGTATGGCTCACTTGCAGCTACACCTCCTGGCACGTTTGGGTGGGTTCGGCATTCGTTCGGCAGCAGATCTTAGCCCCCTCTCTTACGTGTGTGGGTGGTGCCAGAGTGTTGTTGCCAAGTTGGGAGTGGTGGGCGAGGAGCTGATATTTGAGGAGTTCTTTCGCACTTCGCAGGCTGGGGATTTACTGGACCCCTGGATTACCAAGGCCCTTGACCAGCTCCCGCCGGCTGTCAGGCAGGAGTTGCCGAGCCTTGGACTCTACACTACGAATCCCCCCCTTCAGTTTTTTCCAGCGCGCGTCGCTTGGCAGTTGAAAGCCTTCCATCATTGTGGCGCATGGCCCGTGATGATGCTACCTTGGCCCGTTTGACTTCCTTTCAGGGTCCGGGTGCGGCAGCATGGGTATCCGCAGTTCCAGCACATGATGACGCTACTTCAACCGGTCGAGTGAGCATTTCTGCTGCAATCCTTTTCGGCCTTCCCGTCCACCAACTTCTGGTTGCGGGCAAGTATGTTTGCGGCATAGAGTTCAAGGACCCCTCATATCCTCACCATGCCCTTCGCTGTAAGCACCAGTATGCCCCGTCTCGTGTTCATGATGTAGCGAAGTTTGTAGTCGCCAAGATAGGCAAGGCGTCGGGTGGGGTGGTTACGATTGAGTACGACACGCTTCTACCGGGGAAGAGAGTGGATGTGGTGGTTAGGAAACCCACGGATGGAGAATCACATGCGCTCGAAGTGAGCCTTGTGGATTCGGTTTCTCCACCGGTGCAACAGCATGGGCAGTGTAGGCGGACGGTTGGTTTTGCTGCCAAGGAGCGAGCGAAGAGGAAAGCGGTGGATTATCGTCCTTTTCTGCAGCAGCACAGGGGGTTACGTTTCTTCGTTGATTCTTGAGACTTGGGGTTGCTTGGGGGGCAGCTTTCAACAGTGGCTACGATAGCAAGGGGTGTTCATCTAAAAGGGGCTCTTAACAAATGAGTGGGAAGGGGCAATAACTCGGGTTTCTCAGTATGCTTGGTGGTGTCCTTAATAGCTGCGGTAGGGGCAGCTTTGGATAGGGCGCAGGCTCGGGTGATCTTTTTGTGAGCGGCATACACGCTGGGTGAGTTAGAGGTGGACTGGGCGTGGGAGTTCGTGGGGGGAGCACTGTAGGTGGATGTGCCATATTTGGTTGACATGCGACTGTAGATGTCATAGGGAACATTTTTTTTTGGGGAGTTTGGGTTTGGTGGTTCTAGGTTATATATGGTTATAAAGTTTTTCTAGGGAGGGTTTTACTAGAGCCTGGCTACACTTCCTTGCATCTCTATAAATAATAAGCATTATGTACAAGTAACTGTTATGGAGTGCCACTGTAAAGCGAGTACGTCCACAATGTTTTGACTGAAATTGGTGTGAACTGGCTGTGGTGCCAAACCAATCTAGCCGTTGCTGGCCATCACGACGCATCAGTCAAATTCCGGCAGATTTCTCGGCCCCACCCGCCGCAGCCCGCGTGTGCGACCCTCTTGCTAACTGTACTCTCCTCCTCTTCCTCTCCACGCGGCCGGCTTTGATGTGTGCTGCGATTGTGAGGGAGGCTGTGTCGCAGGATCGCATCCCTCTTCACCCTGTCGCTCAATCGCACAACCGCTCAACAGCAGCTCACCTCCACCTCATTCATCCTTCATTTTTTTGCATAGCCAAGCAAGTTGAGTTCTTCTAGCTTTCGTGCCGCAGCAATAGCCGTTCTGCACTCAAGCAACCGCCATTTTACTTACTGATTTCGGGTCAGCCTGATCTTGCGAGATTTACCTATTCTTACTGCGATTGCCCCAAGAAATCTGGGACTAGTTTAGTCGTCGGCGATAGATCCCTTCATAATATCGTTCGGTCGTCCGCGATCATCCTAGATTTTAATCCTCGGCGATTCTTGTGTTCATCCAATCGACCTTTGGAATGGCGTCGGTAGACGGGTTTCAGGTCCCTTCGGACGATGATTACGACGCTCTATACCAGATATTCAACCAGTATTGCTGGTGCGTGCTCGACCTGATCATGCTGCTCGTAGTAATAAAGACAAGGACGTGGTTTTTCAGGTTTATTAGGGTGGTTAGCTTCATCTCGACTCGCGCTGAATTATAGTCTTTGAGTTTTTATCTGCCACATTCGTCCCTTGTCTGGAATGAATTCCATCCGTGCGTGCGTGGCAGCCTCGGCACGGCGCGCGAGGTGGATGAGATGGACAACATCAAGTTCGTGCGATTCTGTCGTGACCTGGGGATCATCGCGCACGGGGGGGGCGGCGCGGGGCTGCACGTCACGGACGTCGACCTTCTCTTCGTCACCATCAAGCCGCGCGTGAGCCCCGCGACGCCGCGTGTAGAATCGTAGCCGTTAAGCCGCTAGCCGTTAAGCCGTGTCTAGAATCGTAACCATTCAACCCTTTTAAGGATTTAGCCGTTAAGTTGTGTTCAGAATTGTACCAGCGATCCTTTGAGGAGTGTAGCCTCTAGTGCCGCTCTGTAGTTCGTCTTCTTCAGTTTGCGGAGCGGTTAGTTGTGAGCGACGAGCTGTGAGCGAGGAGTTGTGAGCGACGAGCTGTGACCAACGAGCTGTGAGCGACGAACTGCGATCGATGAGCTGTGAGCGACGAGGTGCGAGCGATAATGTGTCGGTGTTCTGCTTGCCGCGCGTGTGCGTGCAGGGCCGCAAGAAGCTGACGTTCGACAACTGCTGCGACGCCGTGGCCGTCATGGCCGACAAGCTGGGCGTCGCCTCCACCGATCTCATCCGTCAGGTGCGACCTCATCCGCCGGACCTCATCCGTCAGGTGCGACCTCACCCGCCAGGTGCGACCTCATCCGCCAGGTGCGACCTCATCCGCCAGGTGCGACCTCATCCGTCAGGTGCGACCTCATCCGCCAGGTGCGACCTCACCCGCCAGGTGCGACCTCACCCGCCAGGTGCGACCTCACCCGCCAGGTGCGACCTCACCCGTCAGGTGCGACCTCACCCGTCAGGTGCGACCTCATCCGTCAGGTGCGACCTGGGAAGTCAGTTGGGGCAAGGGGGTTGGCACAGCAGTTCCGCTTCCCCAGTGTTGTGACTCTGCAAGTTCAACCCTATCGCCGTGTCTCACGCTTGGTCCTTCTCCTCGTGTGCTCATGTGCTCGTGTCCACGTGTCCCTATCGTTGCGTGCCGCGTGCAGGCCATCGCCATGGACCTGCCGCAGCCCGCGCTGACGTCCGCGACGCGCCACTCCATGACTCTCTCCCACCACGTCTCCTCGTCGCTCCTCGCGTCGCACCAAACCCTCTCCTCCGCGCACTCGCGCCGCCTCTCCCTCCCGCACCCCGCTGCCGCGCACGCGCTCTCCGCGCACGCCGTCTCCGCGCACGCTGGGTACACCCACGCGGCGTCCGCGCACGCTGCGCCCGCCTCCCCCGCCACCATCACGCCCCTCGCCGCCCAGACTTCCTACTCTCTCAGAGAGGGCCGAGGCGGACGACCCGCGGGTGCTGCTGCTGCGGGTGGTGGTTCCGCTGGGGGGTTCGGGGGAGGAGGGGGTGGCGCGGGGGACATAGTGCCGCCAGGCGACGAGTTTCCCCCGAGGCTGAGGCTCATCCGCACGCGGTCGCTGGAGGCGGAGGAGGGCGCGCCCGCGCACGCGCGCGCTTCTGCTGGCGGGTTGGGGGCGTCTCATGCCACAGGCGCGCGGGCGGCAGATGGACACGTGGGGGAAGGAGAGGCCTGCCGCCCAGAGCCGCTGAGCGAGCTGACGTCATCGCTGTCGGCTCACAACTCGCATGAAGGCAGGGTGATGGGCGGGGGCGAGAAGTGGGGGCGAGGGGCAGACGGAGGGCAGCAGGCGGGGGTGGTTGGCGCGGGGAGGGGTGCAGGCGAGTGGAACGAGAACGCGCAGGGCGGGGGGCTGTATGCGCAGAGGACAGCAGTGGCGGGTGGGCAAGATAGGGAGGCGTCGGGGCACTTGCACGGTGGGGAGGAGGTGGCGGCGAGAGGGGGGTATGCACGGAGGGTAGCAGATGGTGATGATGATGGCGACAGCAGTGCTGTGGGCTGGACGGATGGTGCCATGGGGCGAGCCATGGTGTCCGCTGTGGCAGCAGCAGCCAAGGATTTGAGGCAGGGCCGCGGGGGGCTGGCAGGAGGCGGAGCAGGCGGACGTGCCCAGCAGTATGATGGTGAGTGCATGGGGTGGTGCATGGGGTGGTGCATGGGGTGGTGCATGGGGTGGTGCATGGGGCGGTGCATGGGGCGGTGCATGGGGTGGTGCGTGGGGCGGTGCATGGGGTGGTGCGAGTAAATTGCTAGCATGAGAGCGAGCGAGAGAGCTAAGGGGGTAATGAGGCATGGGGGAGGGGCCGGGGTGGGAGTGAGCGTGCCTGTGTGTGGGTGGCTGCGGGGTGCACTGAGTGGGCGGGCGGGACATCGTGTGCTTGCAGGCGTGCATCCAATAACTTCTTTCCCGCTTTGTCCGCTGCTGACATGGCGCCATGCAGATGAGGAGGGCAGCAGCGCGGATCGGCGGCTGACAAATGAGGACCCGGCAGCGTCAGCAGCGGAGGGCGCGGTGGCGAGTCTCATGTTCTTCGATGCCTTCCGCTTCTTCTCCCTCCCCCACTTCGCCCGCCACCACTTCGTTCCCCTGGTAACTCCCCCCCACCTTTGCCTCAGTGGCTCTCCCATTCCTTGCCTCGTGCCTCAGTGACTCATCCCATGTACCCATTTCTGCTTTGCAAGTGGCATGTCAGACATGAGTCTTGTACCCGTGCAGTTCCTGTAGGCATTCGTGCTCTTGTCACTGGCACTGCATGGTCATGTGTTGCCATTGTCGTTATGCATGCCGAAGTAGGTAATTTACTGATCCATGTATGCCCAAACATCGTGCATGCACCCATGGCATGGGTGAGCAGGCGCAGTGCAGCAGGCATCAGCTGCAGGGGCTGCCACCACCGCGCATGGACAGCATTCGATTCATTAAGATGTGCAAGGAGACCGCCATCCTCGACGCCCGCTTCACCACCACCGTACGTCCCTCCCTCCCCCTCCTGCTCCTCCCTGACTGCCTGCTGCGTGCCGCCTCCCCTATTACATCAAGAGTGTGAGGAATATGCCATTTTTCATGCACACTTCACCACCCTTGCCACTTGCCATGCTTCTGGACTCCAAGAAAGTACTGCCTTGGGCTCACATTCCTGGATGCATTGCTGCCTTGTTAATCTCTATCTCACCTGCTCGCAGCCTTCATGCTGGTCAGGCGTGCATGCATGTATGGAGCCCTTACTCGCCACATGCATTTCTGCCTCACCATCTTCTCCTTGTGTGCCTTTCCCACGTCCCTCCCACGCTCCTCCCATTCTCCTCCCATGCCCCACCACGCCCCTCCCACGCCGCTCCCTTCGTCCCCACCAGAGTGCGGACATTATTTTCAGCAAGGTGACACGCGGAAGCGAGCGCAAGCTGTGCGTTTACACACTCATCCCTTCCACTCCCCCACTCCCTTCCTCCCTCCACGCCCCATTAGAGTGCGGACATTATTTTCAGCAAGGTGACACGGGGCAGCGAGCGCAAACTCTCCGTCTACACGCTAGCCGCCGCACTGCACCTCATCGAGGCAGAGAAGGGCCTCGCTCCGCCCGCCCTGGAGCGCATCATCATCGCCCACTTCCTCTCCCACGTTCCCGCCGCCGTCCTCCCGCCGCCCGGCACCAACCCCCTCGCCCTCCTCCCCTGTGGCCGCGTCCGACTGCAGCAGCCAGCAGCAGCAGCAGCAGCGGCAGCGGCAGCAGCTGGAGTGGATGCAGCAGAGTGCTGAGCGCCCTCATGTCCCTGCTGCTGGCTGTTGGCCGGCCCCCTCGCCTGCACCCACATCCGTGCCCTCGCCCTCACCCGCACGCTCCAGTGCATCTAGCCAGCGTTCCGGAGGGGGCATGTATGCCCGCCTGCTGCAGCTGCACCAGCAGGGGTTTGTGCATGAGGTTGGGGTTGAGGTTGGGAGTGGTTATGGAGGGTATGAAGTGGTGGGAGGTGGTGAGGGCCAGGGGCGGTGTGGGCGGTGGCAGTCACCCCAGCCCGCACGGCGGCACTCCACATGCGCTATGAGCGCTTGCTATGAGCTGCCCCACCACCGCACCCATGGTGCAGGGGCCAGGGAGGAGAGGAAGGAGGAGTGGAGGGAGGAGAGGAGGGAGGTGAGGGAGGAGAGGAGGGAGGTGAGGGAGGAGAGGAGGGAGGTGAGGGAGGAGAGGAGGGAGGTGAGGGAGGTAGGTGGTGTAGGGTACAATGGGGCAGGGTGGGAGGGGCCAGTGGAACAGCAGGGCAGTGGGGCGGGGGCCATGGTGGGGGATGTGGGGGGCGGGAGGAGGAACAGGCTGGTGGCGGGAGGCAGTCTGGCGTGCCCCACTTTGTCCTACCACTGACGCGTGTGCTCACTCACACACACACACATGCTGAGTTAGCATCATGGCTTTTTCCATACATGATGGTAGGTCTGCGACTTGCTTAGTAGCAAGGTGTACTACCGGTAGCTTTTAAGGTTCTGTACATCTTAATTTTATAGAAAGTACTATTTAGTTATATTAACACACAACTGCCTTGCTCTCTTGGGCGCATTGCAGAACTGCAGGATTAGCGAATAAAAGACATGAGAGTATGGCAAATGAGAGGAGTCAGCTATTCTAGATTCTAGACTCTGCTAGGTTATAGAAGAGGGTATGAAATGATATGATTTCTGCTTATAAATATTAGAGTCCAGTTTAATTTACTCCCTTACATCTAGAATTTCCCTTCATCTCCAATTCCTGCGCGAGGACTTTTCGCGGGAGATGTTTCTGGGTGACATTCTCTCTAGGCTATTAGTTTAGTAGTGCTCGTTCTCACGTTGGACCACAGATACTACACCTGATCTTAGCCACAAGGCTAAAAGGGGCGTCGCTTGGCGCTGCGCCTGCTGGTGGGGGCATGGACGGCGTGCCCGGCACGGAGCAGTCCTCGGACGGGCGTGAGGTGTCCGAGCGGCGTGCCCGGCGAATGCACAAGAGCGCGTCGGAGGCCAACGTTAGGGTAGCCGGGTTGCGGGGCGGGTGCGCGTTGGCGGGGTCCATGGGGATGTTGACGGGCGCGGGCAGCGGCAAGTGGGTGAACGGCGGGTCCATGGGGGCGATGGAGGCGCAGCTGCGCGCGGAGCAGGAGGAGCTGGCGTACCTGCGCATGGAGGCGGAGCGCATCGAGCGCAGCGGCGTCATCGACATCGTCAACCACGACGGCGGCGGCGGCGGCGGCGTCGGCGGCGGCGGAGGCGGCGGCGGAGGCGGCGGCGCCTTCCCCAAACACCTGAGCTGGAACTACCGCGGGCTCGACATCACCCCCGAGGGCAGCAGCCGCGCGCAGGCAGGCGCAGACAGGGATCGGGGGGGAGGGGCGGAGTCGGTGCTGGCGTCGTGGGCGCAGGAGAGGCGCGAGTTGGAGGGGCAGGTGGGCGCAGTGAAGGCGGAGCTGAAGCGCAAGGAGAGAGCGCTCAAGGCGGCGGGCAAGGGCAAGGCAGCGGCAGGCAGGGAGGTGGATACGGTGTGGGGGCAGGTGAGCGCGGTGGAGGCGCAGCTGCACGACGTGCAGGGCGACAAGTCCGCCCTCGAGAAGGAGATCCAGGGGCTGCGCGCGCTGCTGCACGTGTCGCGTGCGCGCGACTCAGGGGAGCCAGCGGGCGCGCGGGGCGCGGACACGGAGATGGCGGGCATGCTGAAGATGGTGGGCGACTTCTCCCGGCGACTCGCCCTCGCTGACGACGCCGTGCGACGCGCCGAGGCCAAAAACGTTCAGCTGTCAGGTATGCCATGTGTGGGTTGGAGGGGACGGAAGTGAAGCAGGGAACTGGAGCGTGAAGGAGGTGGGGATGTTCGGGAGCGAGTGCAAGTGCGTCCGTTCGCTTTCAGCCGCCTTTTACTTCCCACCCCACCCTCCACCGTCTCTTAACGTCGCCCCACATATCCCCTTTTTCGTGCACCGCTGCTTCTCCTGTCGCTTCTCCCGCGCACAATTTTCGCCACTGCGCTGCGCAGAGCGGTTGAAGGCGAGCGAGGCGGAACTGCGTGGAACAAGGGAGGCGCTGCGCACGGCACAGGAGGAGCGCGACGCACTGGCGGCGGAGATGAAGCAGGCGCTGGACACGTGGGCGTGGACCGGCTGTGGACACCCCGCCCCTGCTCCGGCTCCTGCTGCTGCTGCTGCCACCCCTGGCAGAGGGGGCAGCAGTGGCAGCGGTGGCATGGGTGTGGGTGCTTCAAGCACGTCTGCATGGGAGGGGTCGGCATGGGTTGAGCACACGGGGCAAGGCATGGCGCGGAATGGCATCCCGGGTGGTGACGATGGCAGGGATGGCATGCAGGAGTGGCTGCAGCGCGTGCGGGATATTGCTGGTGCGAGCCAGTGGGGACGGGGTGGGTACAGTGCTGGTGGTGCCGTGAGCCGGCCACCCCGGGACCCCAAGGCGCGACCAGTGCAGTTTGATGCCCTCGCGTGCAGCCCGTCCCCGCCTTCACTTGCTGCAGCCCCCCTCCTGTGACAAAAAGACTTTTGAGACGTCTCAAAGGTCTCCTGTGACAAGCAGCATCACAACACTGGTCTATATTGTGCTGGTGGCTGGTGTATCAACTGTCGCTGCGCTCGATGAGTACTACTGTGCGCCCAATGCGCACAGTGCTGGTCGCTGCACCAGGCCATGCCTTGCTATTAAACCTTTTCCACCTCCTTGGATGTACATAAAATGTCATATAGTTCTTCTAGTCTAGACGCATAAGAACAATCTAGTGTATCCACAGGCGCCTTTAATTTAATAGACACGTGTTGTTTGGTGTCAAAGTGGGAGTACGGGAGTAGGTTACAGATGGAAGGGGGTGCTCCCAAAAGGTCCCCATCCACCAAGTACCATCAAGCACAGTAGGTATCATCAAGCATACCAGCAAGCATAGCATCAAGTACAAAGCAAGCAACGACCCCCCCAGCACGGTAACAGAGTGACTGCAGTACCGTACAGCCACCCAAAGCACGCGCATAGTGGTGTAGGGCACAGCTGGTCAGTGTATGAGGCGCTTAGGGTCAAGAAGCATTGCAGCACCATCAAGTACTGCTACCAAGCAGGCACCCCCATTCCCCTGTCAGAGTAACACAGCCAGTCAGTGCAGCACAGCCAGTAAGTGCGGCACATCCAGAGTCAATCAGTGTGCGCGCATGGCGGTGTACGGCACGACGCCGCCCACCACGTTGGGCTGGTCGTCCTGAGCGATGCCGCTGTCGCCCGCCCGGCTGCGGCTGCTGCGCCCCGCGTCCGTGATGCCGCGCGCATGGTCCACTGCTAGTACCAGGGCGATCAGCGGCAGCAGCATCACTGCCAGGATGTAGAAGAAAGACGCCCGTAACTCTCCTGTTGCCTGGTGTGGTGCGGGGACGGGAAGGATGATGTATAAGGACAGGGTGGTAGGAATGTGAGCGAGGCATGGCATGTGATGCCACGTGCATGGTCCACCGCCAATACTAGGGCGATCAGTGGCAGCAGCATCACTGCCAGGATGTAGAAGAAGGACGCCCGTAGCTCTCCTGTCGCCTGGCGTAGTGCATGGGGAGGAAAGGGGGTGTAAGGGCAGGATGGAATGGAATGTGAGAAAGGCACTGGGGCGATCAGCGGCAGCAGCATGACGTAGAAGAAGGACGCTCGCAGCTCCCCTGTGGCCACGTGCAGTCCAGGGGGGAGAAGGGAAGGGGGATGTAAGGGCATGGAGGTATGTGAGGGAGGCATGGCGTGTGATGGGAGGGAGGCATAGCGTGTGATGGGAGGGAGGCATAGCGTGTGATGGGAGGGAGGCATAGCGTGTGATGGGAGGGAGGCATAGCGTGTGATGGGAGGGAGGCATAGCGTGTGATGGGAGGGAGGCATAGCGTGTGATGGGAGGGAGGCATAGCGTGTGATGGGAGGGAGGCATAGCGTGTGATGGGAGGGAGGCATGGCGTGTGATGGGAGGGAGGCATAGCGTGTGATGGGAGGGAGGCATAGCGTGTGATGGGAGGGAGGCATAGCGTGTGATGGGAGGGAGGCATAGCGTGTGATGGGAGGGAGGCATAGCGTGTGATGGGAGGGAGGCATGGCGTGTGATGGGAGGGAGGCATAGCGTGTGATGGGAGGGAGGCATAGCGTGTGATGGGAGGGAGGCATAGCGTGTGATGGGAGGGAGGCATAGCGTGTGATGGGAGGGAGGCATAGCGTGTGATGGGAGGGAGGCATGGCGTGTGATGGGAGGGAGGCATGGCGTGTGATGGGAGGGAGGCATGGCGTGTGATGGGAGGGAGGCAGAGCGTGTGATGGGAGGGAGGCATAGCGTGTGATGGGAGGGAGGCATAGCGTGTGATGGGAGGGAGGCATGGCGTGTGATGGGAGGGAGGCATAGCGTGTGATGGGAGGGAGGCATAGCGTGTGATGGGAGGGAGGCATAGCGTGTGATGGGAGGGAGGCATAGCGTGTGATGGGAGGGAGGCATAGCGTGTGATGGGAGGGAGGCATGGCGTGTGATGGGAGGGAGGCATGGCGTGTGATGGGAGGGAGGCAGAGCTTGTGATGGGAGGGAGGCATAGCGTGTGATGGGAGGGAGGCATAGCGTGTGATGGGAGGGAGGCATGGCGTGTGATGGGAGGGAGGCATGGCGTGTGATGGGAGGGAGGCATAGCGTGTGATGGGAGGGAGGCATAGCGTGTGATGGGAGGGAGGCATAGCGTGTGATGGGAGGGATGCATGGCGTGTGATGGGAGGGAGGCATGGCGTGTGATGGGAGGGAGGCATAGCGTGTGATGGGAGGGAGGCATAGCGTGTGATGGGAGGGAGGCATAGCGTGTGATGGGAGGGAGGCATAGCGTGTGATGGGAGGGAGGCATAGCGTGTGATGGGAGGGAGGCATAGCGTGTGATGGGAGGGAGGCATAGCGTGTGATGGGAGGGAGGCATAGCGTGTGATGGGAGGGAGGCAGAGCGTGTGATGGGAGGGAGGCAGAGCGTGTGATGGGAGGGAGGCATAGCGTGTGATGGGAGGGAGGCATGGCGTGTGATGGGAGGGAGGCATGGCGTGTGATGGGAGGGAGGCATAGCGTGTGATGGGAGGGAGGCATAGCGTGTGATGGGAGGGAGGCATAGCGTGTGATGGGAGGGAGGCATAGCGTGTGATGGGAGGGAGGCATAGCGTGTGATGGGAGGGAGGCATAGCGTGTGATGGGAGGGAGGCATAGCGTGTGATGGGAGGGAGGCATAGCGTGTGATGGGAGGGAGGCATAGCGTGTGATGGGAGGGAGGCATGGCGTGTGATGGGAGGGAGGCATAGCGTGTGATGGGAGGGAGGCATAGCGTGTGATGGGAGGGAGGCAGAGCGTGTGATGGGAGGGAGGCATAGCGTGTGATGGGAGGGAGGCATAGCGTGTGATGGGAGGGAGGCATGGCGTGTGATGGGAGGGAGGCATGGCGTGTGATGGGAGGGAGGCATAGCGTGTGATGGGAGGGAGGCATGGCGTGTGATGGGAGGGAGGCATGGCGTGTGATGGGAGGGAGGCATGGCGTGTGATGGGAGGGAGGCATGGCGTGTGATGGGAGGGAGGCATAGCGTGTGATGGGAGGGAGGCATAGCGTGTGATGGGAGGGAGGCATAGCGTGTGATGGGAGGGAGGCATAGCGTGTGATGGGAGGGAGGCATAGCGTGTGATGGGAGGGAGGCATAGCGTGTGATGGGAGGGAGGCATAGCGTGTGATGGGAGGGAGGCATGGCGTGTGATGGGAGGGAGGCATGGCGTGTGATGGGAGGGAGGCATAGCGTGTGATGGGAGGGAGGCATAGCGTGTGATGGGAGGGAGGCATAGCGTGTGATGGGAGGGAGGCATAGCGTGTGATGGGAGGGAGGCATAGCGTGTGATGGGAGGGAGGCATAGCGTGTGATGGGAGGGAGGCATAGCGTGTGATGGGAGGGAGGCATAGCGTGTGATGGGAGGGAGGCAGAGCGTGTGATGGGAGGGAGGCAGAGCGTGTGATGGGAGGGAGGCATAGCGTGTGATGGGAGGGAGGCATGGCGTGTGATGGGAGGGAGGCATGGCGTGTGATGGGAGGGAGGCATAGCGTGTGATGGGAGGGAGGCATAGCGTGTGATGGGAGGGAGGCATAGCGTGTGATGGGAGGGAGGCATAGCGTGTGATGGGAGGGAGGCATAGCGTGTGATGGGAGGGAGGCATAGCGTGTGATGGGAGGGAGGCATAGCGTGTGATGGGAGGGAGGCATAGCGTGTGATGGGAGGGAGGCATAGCGTGTGATGGGAGGGAGGCATAGCGTGTGATGGGAGGGAGGCATGGCGTGTGATGGGAGGGAGGCATAGCGTGTGATGGGAGGGAGGCATAGCGTGTGATGGGAGGGAGGCAGAGCGTGTGATGGGAGGGAGGCATAGCGTGTGATGGGAGGGAGGCATAGCGTGTGATGGGAGGGAGGCATAGCGTGTGATGGGAGGGAGGCATGGCGTGTGATGGGAGGGAGGCATGGCGTGTGATGGGAGGGAGGCATAGCGTGTGATGGGAGGGAGGCATAGCGTGTGATGGGAGGGAGGCATAGCGTGTGATGGGAGGGAGGCATGGCGTGTGATGGGAGGGAGGCATGGCGTGTGATGGGAGGGAGGCATAGCGTGTGATGGGAGGGAGGCATAGCGTGTGATGGGAGGGAGGCATAGCGTGTGATGGGAGGGAGGCATAGCGTGTGATGGGAGGGAGGCATGGCGTGTGATGGGTGGGAGGCATGGCGTGTGATGGGAGGGAGGCATGGCGTGTGATGGGAGGGAGGCATAGCGTGTGATGGGAGGGAGGCATAGCGAGTGATGGGAGGGAGGCATAGCGTGTGATGGGAGGGAGGCATAGCGTGTGATGGGAGGGAGGCATAGCGTGTGATGGGAGGGAGGCATAGCGTGTGATGGGAGGGAGGCATGGCGTGTGATGGGAGGGAGGCATGGCGTGTGATGGGAGGGAGGCATGGCGTGTGATGGGAGGGAGGCATAGCGTGTGATGGGAGGGAGGCATAGCGTGTGATGGGAGGGAGGCATAGCGTGTGATGGGAGGGAGGCATAGCGTGTGATGGGAGGGAGGCATGGCGTGTGATGGGAGGGAGGCATGGCGTGTGATGGGAGGGAGGCATGGCGTGTGATGGGAGGGAGGCATAGCGTGTGATGGGAGGGAGGCATAGCGTGTGATGGGAGGGAGGCATAGCGTGTGATGGGAGGGATGCATGGCGTGTGATGGGAGGGAGGCATGGCGTGTGATGGGAGGGAGGCATAGCGTGTGATGGGAGGGAGGCATAGCGTGTGATGGGAGGGAGGCATAGCGTGTGATGGGAGGGAGGCATAGCGTGTGATGGGAGGGAGGCATAGCGTGTGATGGGAGGGAGGCATAGCGTGTGATGGGAGGGAGGCATAGCGTGTGATGGGAGGGAGGCATAGCGTGTGATGGGAGGGAGGCAGAGCGTGTGATGGGAGGGAGGCAGAGCGTGTGATGGGAGGGAGGCATAGCGTGTGATGGGAGGGAGGCATGGCGTGTGATGGGAGGGAGGCATGGCGTGTGATGGGAGGGAGGCATAGCGTGTGATGGGAGGGAGGCATAGCGTGTGATGGGAGGGAGGCATAGCGTGTGATGGGAGGGAGGCATAGCGTGTGATGGGAGGGAGGCATAGCGTGTGATGGGAGGGAGGCATAGCGTGTGATGGGAGGGAGGCATAGCGTGTGATGGGAGGGAGGCATAGCGTGTGATGGGAGGGAGGCATAGCGTGTGATGGGAGGGAGGCATGGCGTGTGATGGGAGGGAGGCATAGCGTGTGATGGGAGGGAGGCATAGCGTGTGATGGGAGGGAGGCAGAGCGTGTGATGGGAGGGAGGCATAGCGTGTGATGGGAGGGAGGCATAGCGTGTGATGGGAGGGAGGCATGGCGTGTGATGGGAGGGAGGCATGGCGTGTGATGGGAGGGAGGCATAGCGTGTGATGGGAGGGAGGCATGGCGTGTGATGGGAGGGAGGCATGGCGTGTGATGGGAGGGAGGCATGGCGTGTGATGGGAGGGAGGCATGGCGTGTGATGGGAGGGAGGCATAGCGTGTGATGGGAGGGAGGCATAGCGTGTGATGGGAGGGAGGCATAGCGTGTGATGGGAGGGAGGCATAGCGTGTGATGGGAGGGAGGCATAGCGTGTGATGGGAGGGAGGCATAGCGTGTGATGGGAGGGAGGCATAGCGTGTGATGGGAGGGAGGCATGGCGTGTGATGGGAGGGAGGCATGGCGTGTGATGGGAGGGAGGCATAGCGTGTGATGGGAGGGAGGCATAGCGTGTGATGGGAGGGAGGCATAGCGTGTGATGGGAGGGAGGCATAGCGTGTGATGGGAGGGAGGCATAGCGTGTGATGGGAGGGAGGCATAGCGTGTGATGGGAGGGAGGCATAGCGTGTGATGGGAGGGAGGCATAGCGTGTGATGGGAGGGAGGCAGAGCGTGTGATGGGAGGGAGGCAGAGCGTGTGATGGGAGGGAGGCATAGCGTGTGATGGGAGGGAGGCATGGCGTGTGATGGGAGGGAGGCATGGCGTGTGATGGGAGGGAGGCATAGCGTGTGATGGGAGGGAGGCATAGCGTGTGATGGGAGGGAGGCATAGCGTGTGATGGGAGGGAGGCATAGCGTGTGATGGGAGGGAGGCATAGCGTGTGATGGGAGGGAGGCATAGCGTGTGATGGGAGGGAGGCATAGCGTGTGATGGGAGGGAGGCATAGCGTGTGATGGGAGGGAGGCATAGCGTGTGATGGGAGGGAGGCATAGCGTGTGATGGGAGGGAGGCATGGCGTGTGATGGGAGGGAGGCATAGCGTGTGATGGGAGGGAGGCATAGCGTGTGATGGGAGGGAGGCAGAGCGTGTGATGGGAGGGAGGCATAGCGTGTGATGGGAGGGAGGCATAGCGTGTGATGGGAGGGAGGCATGGCGTGTGATGGGAGGGAGGCATGGCGTGTGATGGGAGGGAGGCATAGCGTGTGATGGGAGGGAGGCATAGCGTGTGATGGGAGGGAGGCATAGCGTGTGATGGGAGGGAGGCATAGCGTGTGATGGGAGGGAGGCATAGCGTGTGATGGGAGGGAGGCATAGCGTGTGATGGGAGGGAGGCATAGCGTGTGATGGGAGGGAGGCATGGCGTGTGATGGGAGGGAGGCATGGCGTGTGATGGGAGGGAGGCATAGCGTGTGATGGGAGGGAGGCATAGCGTGTGATGGGAGGGAGGCATAGCGTGTGATGGGAGGGAGGCATAGCGTGTGATGGGAGGGAGGCATAGCGTGTGATGGGAGGGAGGCATAGCGTGTGATGGGAGGGAGGCATGGCGTGTGATGGGAGGGAGGCATGGCGTGTGATGGGAGGGAGGCATGGCGTGTGATGGGAGGGAGGCATGGCGTGTGATGGGAGGGAGGCATAGCGTGTGATGGGAGGGAGGCATAGCGTGTGATGGGAGGGAGGCATAGCGTGTGATGGGAGGGAGGCATAGCGTGTGATGGGAGGGAGGCATAGCGTGTGATGGGAGGGAGGCATAGCGTGTGATGGGAGGGAGGCATGGCGTGTGATGGGAGGGAGGCATGGCGTGTGATGGGAGGGAGGCATGGCGTGTGATGGGAGGGAGGCATGGCGTGTGATGGGAGGGAGGCATAGCGTGTGATGGGAGGGAGGCATAGCGTGTGATGGGAGGGAGGCATAGCGTGTGATGGGAGGGAGGCATAGCGTGTGATGGGAGGGAGGCATGGCGTGTGATGGGAGGGAGGCATGGCGTGTGATGGGAGGGAGGCATGGCGTGTGATGGGAGGGAGGCATGGCGTGTGATGGGAGGGAGGCATGGCGTGTGATGGGAGGGAGGCATAGCGTGTGATGGGAGGGAGGCATAGCGGGTGATGGGAGGGAGGCATAGCGTGTGATGGGAGGGAGGCATAGCGTGTGATGGGAGGGAGGCATAGCGTGTGATGGGAGGGAGGCATAGCGTGTGATGGGAGGGAGGCATAGCGTGTGATGGGAGGGAGGCATAGCGTGTGATGGGAGGGAGGCATAGCGTGTGATGGGAGGGAGGCATAGCGTGTGATGGGAGGGAGGCATAGCGTGTGTTGGGAGGGAGGCATAGCGTGTGATGGGAGGGAGGCATAGCGTGTGATGGGAGGGAGGCATAGCGTGTGATGGGAGGGAGGCATGGCGTGTGATGGGAGGGAGGCATGGCGTGTGATGGGAGGGAGGCATGGCGTGTGATGGGAGGGAGGCATGGCGTGTGATGGGAGGGAGGCATGGCGTGTGATAGGAGGGAGGCATGGCGTGTGATGGGAGGGAGGCATAGCGTGTGATGGGAGGGAGGCATAGCGTGTGATGGGAGGGAGGCATAGCGTGTGATGGGAGGGAGGCATGGCGTGTGATGGGAGGGAGGCATAGCGTGTGATGGGAGGGAGGCATAGCGTGTGATGGGAGGGAGGCATAGCGTGTGATGGGAGGGAGGCATGGCGTGTGATGGGAGGGAGGCATGGCGTGTGATGGGAGGGAGGCATAGCGTGTGATGGGAGGGAGGCATAGCGTGTGATGGGAGGGAGGCATAGCGTGTGATGGGAGGGAGGCATAGCGTGTGATGGGAGGGAGGCATAGCGTGTGATGGGAGGGAGGCATAGCGTGTGATGGGAGGGAGGCATAGCGTGTGATGGGAGGGAGGCATAGCGTGTGATGGGAGGGAGGCATAGCGTGTGATGGGAGGGAGGCATAGCGTGTGATGGGAGGGAGGCATGGCGTGTGATGGGAGGGAGGCATGGCGTGTGATGGGAGGGAGGCATGGCGTGTGATGGGAGGGAGGCATGGCGTGTGATGGGAGGGAGGCATAGCGTGTGATGGGAGGGAGGCATAGCGTGTGATGGGAGGGAGGCATAGCGTGTGATGGGAGGGAGGCATAGCGTGTGATGGGAGGGAGGCATAGCGTGTGATGGGAGGGAGGCATAGCGTGTGATGGGAGGGAGGCATAGCGTGTGATGGGAGGGAGGCATAGCGTGTGATGGGAGGGAGGCATAGCGTGTGATGGGAGGGAGGCATAGCGTGTGATGGGAGGGAGGCATAGCGTGTGATGGGAGGGAGGCATAGCGTGTGATGGGAGGGAGGCATAGCGTGTGATGGGAGGGAGGCATAGCGTGTGATGGGAGGGAGGCATGGCGTGTGATGGGAGGGAGGCATGGCGTGTGATGGGAGGGAGGCATGGCGTGTGATGGGAGGGAGGCATGGCGTGTGATGGGAGGGAGGCATGGCGTGTGATGGGAGGGAGGCATGGCGTGGAGTTGTTGAGGCGACGCAACAGATGCATGGAAGCATGGCACACGGAAGAATGTGGCCACAAAATACCTTTCCCACACTCCCTGGCTTGTCCCCCGCACCCGTCTCCACCTCAGCATCGCTGATCCCCCTGTCGACACCCAACCTACACACACACCCATACCTGCATACACACTCACACACACACACACACCCACACCCGCATACACACCCACACACACACACAACCATACCCGCATACACACCCACACACACACACAACCATACCCGCATACACACCCACACACACACACACCCACACCCGCATACACACCCACACACACACACACACACACACACACACACACCCGCATACACCCCCCCACACACACACACACCCGCATACACACACACACACACAGACACACACCCACACCCACACCCACACCCACACCCACACCCACACCCACACCCACACCCACACCCACCCCACCTCACCCCACCCCCACCTCCACCCCTACCTCCACCCCCAACCCCACACCCACACCCATACCCACACCCACACCCACACCCACACCCACACCCACACCCACACCCACACCCACACCCACACCCACACCCACACCCACACCCACCACCATCACCACCACACACACCCCATCCCATCGCATCGCATCGCATCGCATCGCACCCCACCGACTCCCCACCTGCACAACGACGGCACCAATGAAGGGGAAGAGCCACGGGGAGCCCTTGCCACTGATGGAATAGAGCGGAGAGGAGACACCCCTCCCCTCTCCCTCTTCCTCCTTCCACCCCCCCTATCACAATCCCACCCATACCCACCACAGCCCACTCCACCCCACCGCACTGCACCTGCACGATGACGGCAACGATGAAGGGCCCGAGCCACGAAAAGCCCTTGTCACTGACGGAGTAGAGCGAGAAGTAGGCGCCGACTCCATCCCTCTTCCCCCCCCCACTCCCTCTCTCACGCATCCCACCCCTTCCCACCACATCCCATCCCACCCCACCCCACCGCAAACCACTGCCCCTTACTGCACCGCACCTGCACAATGACGGCGACAATGAAGGGCCCCGGCAAGGATAAGCCCTTACCGCTGATGCAGTAGAGCTAAAGAAAAGCTCCCTCCCTCTCCTCCTCCCCCTCCCCGTTCACCATCCCGCTCACCCCTACCCACCGCATTCCACCCCACCCAATCACACCCCACCCCACCTGCACAATGACGGCAACAATGAATGGTCCCAGCCAGGAGGAGCCCTTGTCGCTGACGGAGTAGAGTGAGAAGAAGGCACCCTCTCGGCCCACGGGGATCATGTCAATGAAGAGCGTGCGCGAGTACGACGACAGCGGGCCCAGCAGCACCCCGAACCACCCCGCAAACACATACAGCTCCCACGCTGACTTCAACCCCACGCCGCCGTCTGGTGTGAGGTAGCCGAGTAGGCCCCAGAGCGGGAGGGGAATCATCCCCGCTATAAGCACGCAGACCATCGCTTTATTGTGCAGCCCGGACACGCGCTGCAGCCAGAAGGCAAGCGGCGTGCCGAGGAGTGCGAAGAGGAAGACGCAGCAGGCGAGCAGAACAGTAGCTGTTGTGGAGAGGCAGAGCTCGCGCTGCCCGAAGAGCACGCCGATCTGCATGATGGTGGTGTAGCCGTCCGCGTACACAAAGTAGCACACCAGGAATGCAAACGCGTTGCGGTACCGCCGCGCCTCCGCCAGAATGGCGCCGAGATGGCGCCACCCGGAGAAGACGCGGAGGGGCGAGCCGGGAGGGAGGGCGGGGCCGGGGCGGGCTTTAAGGAAGGCGAAGGTGGGGAGCGCGAGGAGGACCCACCAGGCGCCGCAGAGGGCGACTGCGAGGCGGAGCTTGAGAGTGGGCGAGGAGGTGGGGAGTGTGGAGGCGAGGGCGAGGAGGGTTACAACGATGGAGGCGGCACTGGCACAGGCGACTGCTGTGAGGGAGAGGCGATTCTCCACCTGATGAGGGTGGGGACGGTGGGGCACGGGCCAGGGGCATGAAATGCTCTGTTAGTTGCAAGGAGGGTGAAAGCGATGGACGCAGCACTGGCACAGGCGACCGCTGTGGCACACATCTCCACCTGCTGGGGGCATGTGCGGAAAATTGGGCATGGGTGGTTGGTGGGCATTGAGGGGACAGTTGGGCATGGCGGGAATGGTTGGGCAAGGCGGGGGTGGTGATCGAATGGAAGGTGAATGGTGATGGGGAGGGGTGGGGGAGGATATGAACAAATAAGAGATGCTTCAAAATGCTTGCTCCCTCAACCTAACTACATGCCCCTTCTCCCCACCTGCTCAACGGAATTCTAAGAACCCATTTGCACCGTGTCCCATTTGCATCTCCACCACCACGGCCTGCACCGGCAGCCCCGCCTCCCTTGCCTGCTGCACCTCGGGTGCCTGTTGCCTGTTCCCTCTCGTTTCATACAAATGAGTAGTTTGACTCTATTTGAAGAAAACATGTCTCATCCCACCCACCCGCACCTGCTCCCTCATCTCATCCCACATGCTCCTTGGGCACCTTGGATTAATCCTAAGAATCCCTCTGCACCCCGTCCCACCTGCTCTCTCATCTCCACCACCGCCTGCACTGGCAGTCCCGCCGCCTCTGCCTGCTGCACCTCGGGGGACGCGTCCACCAGCACTGCCAGGTAGCTGAGGGGGGGGGTGTGTGGGGAGGACAAGAGGGGGAGCGTGGGGGAGGTATGGGTGTCTCAGTGTGCAGGCAACGCGCCCTCAGTCTGTAGCTGTCTACGTGTACATGGGGCGGAGAGGGGGAGGGTAGGAGGGTATTGGGTGCCTCAGGCCATGCGTCCCTGCCTGCTGCACCTGCACTGCTCCTCAGGGGAGCGTTCGCCAGCACTGCCAGGTAGATTGGGGAGGGAGGGGGGAGAGGGAGGGGAGGGTACGGGGTGCCTCAGGCGGTGCATTTTCTGCTAGCTGCACCTCAGGAGATGCGTTCGCCAGCACTGCCAAGTAGACTGGGGGTGGGGGAGGAGGGGGGGGGGGGGAAATGGGGGGGAATTGAAGTGGGAGTACGGGGTCCTCTGGGTGAGTGATTGTGATGCGTGTCTGGCTGTTGCTCTGCCACGCTGGAAATCGTGTTTACCAGCACTGCCAGGTGGCTGAGCTGGAGTGGGGCCAGGGCTGAAGAGCGGAAGGTAGGCGGTGCGAGAGTGTAACTCCAGCACAATCTGTTTGCACAAGCACATAGGTAGCAGCGGTAGGGCTTTGATCACCTGTAGTAAGCAACGGTGGCGATGCCGTAGCCAATGTTGGCGATCACCAGCAGCACGGCGGCGAGCCACCAGAGGGCTGGCGAGGCGAGCACGAGGCACAGCACACACGCCGCTGCACCCATGTACGTGCCCACCTGTAGTAGCTGTGAGAGGGCGGAGGGAGGGGAGGGAGGGAACAGGAATCGGATGCATGAGTTCATGAGTTCTGAGTCGACTAAAGAGTCACCTCAGAGCAAACAGGATGCAGCACCCATGTACGTGCCCACCTGCAGTAGCTGTGAGAGGGCGGAGGGAGGGGCAGGCGGGTGATGGGGGAAGGAGTGGAGAAGGAATGAGAGGCGCAAGAGAGGAGGTGAGAGGCTGCAGCAGCGTCACCTGCAGGAGCACACGTGCTGCCGGGTTGGCAGTCCAGTGATTGTTACAGTTTGAGACAATACACATCGCATGGCCACCCCTTCTTCCACTTCCCTCCCAACCCCTTCTTCCTTCTTCCTCCTTCTCCTGTACCCCTTCCCGCTCCCAATCCCTCTCTCCAGTCCCAACTCCTATCACCCCCCCCCCACCTGTTTCCTGTTGCCGCCAAAGTCAGCAAGCGGGCCGACAGTGACAAATGCAGCGAGTTGAAAGAGCACGGGCACGCCCAGCATGGCCGTCCTCCCTCTCCCCCTCTCCCCCTCTCCCCCTTCCCCTCCCCCCCACCTGTTTGCGCCCGCGGCCAAAGTCAGCAAGCGGCCCAACAGTGACGAAGGCGGCGACCTCAAAGAGCACGGACACGCCCAGCATGGCCGTTGCGAAAGACACCGGGTTGATGCTGCCGCCGCCCGCCACCGGGATGCCTGGCATGGGGGCCTCGATGTACCTGTGGAGGGGAGGGGAGGGGGGAGAGTGAGTGGGGTGCCTCAATCGTGTTTCACCGGGTTCACGCTGCCACCGCGTGCTACCGGAATGCCCAGCACGGGCGCATTTGTGAACCTGGATGGGAAAAGCGAGGTGAAAGGAGACTGTGTTGGGAGGTGGAAGAAGCTTGCAGTCTCCGGAATCTTGTTTCACCGGGTTCATTCATGCTGCCACCGCCCAGCCCACCACTGGGATGCCTGGCATGGGGGTGTACCTTGGGGGGAGGGTGGGGGGGGTTGAGGTGAAAGAAAATTCATGTTCAAATTGCAGTCACGAGCAGAGGAACCGGCTTTCACACACGAATCTTGTTTCACCGGGTTCATTCATGCTGCCACCGCCCGCGACCGGAATGCCTGGCATGGGTGCCTCTGTGTACCTAGGGGGATGGCACGGGGTGGGGAAAAGGGGGGGGGAGATGATGGGGGCAATTAGAGCAGACGTGCGCCCCTTTCCCCCCCTCTGCCGGAGCGCCACAGGTGGTGCCGCTGCTGCTGGTTGCAGTGCTGAGCGAACAATGGAGGGCGGAGCAGCGGCGACAGACGCGCACCGAGGGAGAGCGGCGGGAGGGAGAGTGAGGGGAGAGAGGGAAGCAGCCAAAGGTAAGCAAGGCGACAAGCGTCTACCCCTTGGTGACGGGTGCACCTTGCCTCGCACCTCTTGCCTTGCCGCATGCCCCTCGCCTCGCCTCACTCCCTCGCCTCGCCTCACTCCCTCGCCTCGCCTCACTCCCTCGCCTCGCCTCACTCCCCCAGCCTTACGCCCCTCACCTCACGCCGCTAGCAAAAATCCCCTGAGTCTCGTCCCAAACCACCCTCACGAGTACCCCTACCCCTTTCCCCCCTCCTCCCCCGCCCCAATTGCTCACCCCGCCGAGGTCTGCAGCTGTGTGCCTTTCCCCGGCACGCAGCTGCAGACACTCGCTCACTCGCTCTCCTCAAGCATTCCCCCATTCCTCACCCCGAGTACCCCCTTTTCCAACCCCCCCCATTCCCCCCCTCCCCCCCCATTCCTCACCCTGCTGACGTCTGCAGCTGCGTGCCTTTCCCCGGCACGCACTGCAGGCAATCGCTCGTCACGTCCGCGCTGCACGCGGGCGGCTGCGGCGACGCGGCGTGCTGCCACGCGAACTCCGAGGCGAGCGCGACGAGGAGCAGCGGGAAGAAGATGGGCAGCGCGGCGGAGTAGAATCCCGCCACCGCAGCGTCGTACCCGTACCACGCCCACACCTCGCGCTTCCCCGCGGGCGCCGCGCGCGAGCTCTCCCCGTCTATCTCCATCGGCGCAAACCCCCCCGTCATTGCGCCGCGCTGGCGGCGGTTTCCCCGCAGCTGGTCGCCCCGCGGTAACTACTTTTTGCGTCTCTCGGCCGGCAAAAGACGGCTGACGCCGGCGGCGGCGAGGTGGCGGCGGGAACAGGGCAGCGCAGCGGGGGGTGGTAACGGCGCGCGAATCAGCGCAAGGTGCAGGAACAGAGGGCGCGGTAATTGGGTGAAGCGCGGGGCGGGAGTGGCGAGAACGGCGCCCGAAGTAGAGGCCGGTGCAGAGGTGGCGGGCGCGGTGATGGGGTGGTGCGCGGGTCGGCTGTGGCGGGGGAAAGGTGAGGTCGCGGGAGGGCGGTGAAGGTGGTGCAGTGGTGCTGCTGTGATTGAGGAGAGGTGTTGGTGGAAGAGAGGAGCGAGGCGAGGAATTTGTCAGAGCAGCAGATTGACGGCAAAGTCGGCAAAAGGAAATCCTTCCTCGGGTTGTACTCGTTATTATCAACGGCAGTAAAGCAAAACTCAATTGGAGTGACTGGTTCTACCCTATGCTTGGGGCAGTTCTGCAGAATCATTGGAATTGAGCTGCTATACCTAACTTGCAAAGCAGCTTTTAAAACAAGTGCTGTTGATGGTCTTCGAATCTGCACCTACACTACAGCCTATATGCTAAACTACATTGAGCACCAACGCGCTCACTACAGGCGCCTACACTACAAGCTACAGCGCAGTGAGTGTTGCAGTTTCAACGTCCAGCTCCACAAGAGCACCGATGGGCGCCACTCTGTTGTCGTTTGTGTGGCCAATGGGCAGCCCCGCCAGCACCGGCAGCCAATGAGGGAGCTCCACCTGTCCCAGCCAGAACCACTTGTCCCAATCGCCTCCGTATTGCTCCGCCACGATTCGTCGAACGCTCTCTGCACGAGGGTGGATGGGATGGGAGTGAGAGGGATGATGGAAGGCTGTGGATGACAGGAGGAACATTGGGAATGAATGACAGTCCAAGCAGGGCAGTAGTGTGGAGGGAAGGGTGCAAGCAGTACTGTGGGACACGTCAAGAGCAGCTACCACAGCGGCCCATGCCTTGGACTCGAAAGCATCCCATGCACCCGATACACACACCCCGTGCACCCGATACACACATCCCGTGCACCCGATACACACACCCCGTGTACCCGATACACACATCCCATGCACCCGATACACACACCCCGTGCACCCGATACACACATCCCATGCACCCGATACACACACCCCGTGCACCCGATACACACACCCCGTGCACCCGATACACACACCCCGTGCACCCGATACACACACCCCGTGCACCCGATACACACACCCCGTGCACCCGATACACACATCCCCTGCACCCGATACACACACCCCGTGCACCCGATACACACACCCCGTGCACCCGATACACACACCCCGTGCACCCGATACACACACCCCATGCACCCGATACACACACCCCGTGCACCCGATACACACACCCCGTGCACCCGATACACACACCCCGTGCACCCGATACACACACCCCATGCACCCGATACACACATCCCATGCACACGATACACACACCCCGTGCACCCGATACACACACCCCGTGCACCCGATACACACACCCCGTGCACCCGATACACACACCCCCTGCACCCGATACACACACCCCGTGCACCCGATACACACATCCCGTGCACCCGATACACACATCCCGTGCACCTGATACACACACCCCGTGCACCCGATACACACACCCCATGCACCCGATACACACACCCCGTGCACCCGATACACACACCCCGTGCACCCGATACACACACCCCGTGCACCCGATACACACACCCCGTGCACCCGATACACACATCCCGTGCACCCGATACACACATCCCATGCACCCGATACACACACCCCGTGCACCCGATACACACACCCCGTGCACCCGATACACACATCCCGTGCACCCGATACACACACCCCGTGCACCTGATACACACACCCCGTGCACCCGATACACACACCCCGTGCACCCGATACACACACCCCGTGCACCCGATACACACACCCCGTGCACCCGATACACACACCCCGTGCACCCGATACACACACCCCGTGCACCCGATACACACACCCCATGCACCCGATACACACACCCCGTGCACCCGATACACACACCCCGTGCACCCGATACACACACCCCGTGCACCCGATACACACACCCCGTGCACCCGATACACACATCCCGTGCACCCGATACACACATCCCATGCACCCGATACACACACCCCGTGCACCCGATACACACATCCCGTGCACCCGATACACACATCCCGTGCACCCGATACACACACCCCGTGCACCTGATACACACACCCCGTGCACCCGATACACACACCCCGTGCACCCGATACACACACCCCGTGCACCCGATACACACATCCCATGCACCCGATACACACATCCCGTGCACCCGATACACACACCCCGTGCACCCGATACACACACCCCGTGCACCCGATACACACACCCCATGCACCCGATACACACACCCCGTGCACCCGATACACACACCCCGTGCACCCGATACACACACCCCATGCACCCGATACACACACCCCGTGCACCCGATACACACACCCCGTGCACCCGATACACACATCCCATGCACCCGATACACACACCCCGTGCACCCGATACACACACCCCATGCACCCGATACACACACCCCGTGCACCCGATACACACATCCCATGCACCCGATACACACACCCCGTGCACACGATACACACACCCCGTGCACCCGATACACACACCCCGTGCACCCGATACACACACCCCGTGCACCCGATACACACACCCCGTGCACCCGATACACACACCCCATGCACCCGATACACACATCCCGTGCACCCGATACACACACCCCGTGCACCCGATACACACACCCCATGCACCCGATACACACACCCCGTGCACCCGATACACACATCCCATGCACCCGATACACACACCCCGTGCACACGATACACACACCCCGTGCACCCGATACACACACCCCGTGCACCCGATACACACACCCCGTGCACCCGATACACACACCCCGTGCACCCGATACACACACCCCATGCACCCGATACACACATCCCGTGCACCCGATACACACACCCCGTGCACCCGATACACACATCCCATGCACCCGATACACACACCCCGTGCACACGATACACACACCCCGTGCACCCGATACACACACCCCGTGCACCCGATACACACACCCCGTGCACCCGATACACACACCCCATGCACCCGATACACACACCCCGTGCACCCGATACACACACCCCGTGCACCCGATACACACATCCCATGCACCCGATACACACACCCCGTGCACACGATACACACACCCCGTGCACCCGATACACACACCCCATGCACCCGATACACACACCCCGTGCACCCGATACACACACCCCATGCACCCGATACACACACCCCGTGCACCCGATACACACACCCCGTGCACCCGATACACACATCCCATGCACCCGATACACACACCCCGTGCACACGATACACACACCCCGTGCACCCGATACACACACCCCATGCACCCGATACACACACCCCGTGCACCCGATACACACACCCCGTGCACCCGATACACACACCCCGTGCACCCGATACACACACCCCCTGCACCCGATACACACACCCCGTGCACCCGATACACACATCCCGTGCACCCGATACACACATCCCGTGCACCTGATACACACACCCCGTGCACCCGATACACACACCCCATGCACCCGATACACACACCCCGTGCACCCGATACACACACCCCATGCACCCGATACACACACCCCGTGCACCCGATACACACACCCCGTGCACCCGATACACACATCCCATGCACCCGATACACACACCCCGTGCACCCGATACACACACCCCATGCACCCGATACACACACCCCGTGCACCCGATACACACACCCCATGCACCCGATACACACACCCCGTGCACCCGATACACACACCCCGTGCACCCGATACACACATCCCATGCACCCGATACACACACCCCGTGCACCCGATACACACACCCCATGCACCCGATACACACATCCCGTGCACCTGATACACACACCCCGTGCACCCGATACACACACCCCATGCACCCGATACACACACCCCGTGCACCCGATACACACACCCCGTGCACCCGATACACACACCCCGTGCACCCGATACACACACCCCGTGCACCGATACACACATCCCATGCACCCGATACAACACACCCCGTGCACCCGATACACACATCCCGTGCACCCGATACACACATCCCGTGCACCCGATACACACACCCCGTGCACCTGATACACACACCCCGTGCACCCGATACACACACCCCGTGCACCCGATACACACACCCCGTGCACCCGATACACACACCCCGTGCACCCGATACACACACCCCGTGCACCCGATACACACATCCCATGCACCCGATACACACACCCCGTGCACCCGATACACACACCCCGTGCACCCGATACACACACCCCGTGCACCCGATACACACACCCCGTGCACCCGATACACACACCCCGTGCACCCGATACACACACCCCGTGCACCCGATACACACACCCCGTGCACCCGATACACACACCCCATGCACCCGATACACACACCCCGTGCACCCGATACACACATCCCATGCACCCGATACACACACCCCGTGCACACGATACACACACCCCGTGCACCCGATACACACACCCCATGCACCCGATACACACACCCCGTGCACCCGATACACACACCCCGTGCACCCGATACACACATCCCATGCACCCGATACACACACCCCGTGCACCCGATACACACACCCCATGCACCCGATACACACATCCCGTGCACCTGATACACACACCCCGTGCACCCGATACACACACCCCATGCACCCGATACACACACCCCGTGCACCCGATACACACACCCCGTGCACCCGATACACACACCCCGTGCACCCGATACACACACCCCGTGCACCCGATACACACATCCCATGCACCCGATACACACACCCCGTGCACCCGATACACACATCCCGTGCACCCGATACACACATCCCGTGCACCCGATACACACACCCCGTGCACCTGATACACACACCCCGTGCACCCGATACACACACCCCGTGCACCCGATACACACACCCCGTGCACCCGATACACACACCCCGTGCACCCGATACACACACCCCGTGCACCTGATACACACACCCCGTGCACCCGATACACACACCCCGTGCACCCGATACACACACCCCGTGCACCCGATACACACATCCCATGCACCCGATACACACACCCCGTGCACCCGATACACACACCCCGTGCACCCGATACACACACCCCGTGCACCCGATACACACACCCCGTGCACCCGATACACACACCCCGTGCACCCGATACACACACCCCGTGCACCCGATACACACACCCCGTGCACCCGATACACACACCCCATGCACCCGATACACACACCCCGTGCACCGGATACACACACCCCATGCACCCGATACACACACCCCGTGCACCCGATACACACACCCCATGCACCCGATACACACACCCCGTGCACCCGATACACACACCCCGTGCACCCGATACACACACCCCATGCACCCGATACACACACCCCGTGCACCCGATACACACATACCGTGCACCCGATACACACACCCCGTGCACCCGATACACACACCCCGTGCACCCGATACACACATCCCATGCACCCGATACACACACCCCGTGCACCCGATACACACATCCCATGCACCCGATACACACACCCCGTGCACCCGATACACACACCCCGTGCACCCGATACACACATCCCATGCACCCGATACACACACCCCGTGCACCCGATACACACATACCGTGCACCCGATACACACACCCCGTGCACCCGATACACACACCCCGTGCACCCGATACACACACCCCATGCACCCGATACACACACCCCGTGCACCCGATACACACATACCGTGCACCCGATACACACACCCCGTGCACCCGATACACACACCCCGTGCACCCGATACACACATCCCATGCACCCGATACACACACCCCGTGCACCCGATACACACATCCCATGCACCCGATACACACACCCCGTGCACCCGATACACACACCCCGTGCACCCGATACACACATCCCATGCACCCGATACACACACCCCGTGCACCCGATACACACACCCCGTGCACCCGATACACACACCCCGTGCACCCGATACACACACCCCGTGCATACCTCGTGCCTCGTCACTCATTCCCTGGAAATTGGAGAAGCTTCCCAGAACCAGCCCTGACAGGGCCGTCACATGACCCTGTGTGTCATGCCCCCTGCTGGTGCAGCAGGTAGCATGGACATGTCGGTAGGAGCCCATGTCCTTCCATGGCGCATGAGTGGCATCATGGACGGCAGGATCAGGGGCGGCAGCATTAGGGGCGGTAGCATTAGGGGCGGCAGCATCATGGGCGGCAGCATCATGGGCGGCAGCATCGTGGGCGGCAGCATCGTGGGCGGCAGCATCATGGGCGGCAGCATCATGGGCGGCAGCATCGTGGGCGGCAGCATCGTGGGCGGCAGCATCGTGGGCGGCAGCATCGTGGGCGGCAGCATCGTGGGCGGCAGCATCGTGGGCGGCAGCATCGTGGGCGGCAGCACCATGAGAGTGGGTGCATCCCCTGGCATGGCAGGGAGGAGGGGCGGGGGGTAGCAGCGAGGGCAGCAGCTGGTGCAGCATGCGATCCACCCGGTACTCCTCCTCCCCCACTGCCACATCGCATGGGCAGCACAGAGACAGGGAGATGGGAAGAGACGAGAAAGGCGATTGATGAGCGGGGAGGGTGGTTCAAGGTTGCGCAGCAGCTGGTGCAGCATGCGATCCACCCGGTACTCTTCCTCTCCCACTGCCACATGGTATGGGCAGCACAGAGACAGGGAGATGAGACGAGTGGAGGGAGGCGATTGGGACACACAGGCTGGCAGATGCATGGCGGAGGCATGGCGGAGGCATGGCGGAGGCATGGCGGAGGCATGGCGGAGGCATGGCGGAGGCTCTAGATGCAGCGAGCGGGGAGAGTGGTCCGAGGTTGCATGGCAAGCAAAGCGGAGAGTTCTATTCAATCGGGGAGAAGGACAAGCAAGAGCAGAACTTGCACTATTCATGTCAGTTCATGACATTCCATTCCATCCCACCCCATGCATGCATGCTTCGATCGCACCGGGTCACATGGCGGCGTAACACGCATCTCACCATCTTCCAGCATCAGAATCACGCCATCACTGCCTCCCCCGCCCCCACCACCACTGCTGTTGCAGCAGCAGCACGTGCCTCGCCGCCCCGCCGCCCATTTGGACCCCACGAGCGAAGCCAGAACAGACAGATTGCCGCCCAGAAGCCGCCCTTGCACTCGATTTGGGCGGCAGCAAGAGCAGGCGCCGCCCAGCCACCCTCTCTGGAGGCAGCGGCCCTGCGATGGATGGGGGGGGAATGGCGGAGGAAATATAAGGGGAAGTGGGGAGGGACGAAATGGGACAAGAGAGGAGATTTGAAAGGCAGGAAGGGGAAGGCGATCCTTTCTGTAAAAGGTGCACTTGTGCGAGCTCTCAAAAGCCCCCAAGCCCACACTTGAGTCGACTCAAAAGTCAGCTCTCAAAAGGCCAAAAGCTGACAGCCGACAGCAATCATGGAGGCAGCAGAGAGTGGGGGGAGGGAAAAGGGAGAACGGGCACCTGACGATCAACAGACGGGCACCTGAAAAACATCTAAAGAGCACCTGACCCTCCTGAAGGGCACCTGAAATTTATCTAGAGGGCACTTGACTCTCACCTGAAGAGGGGGGCAGGCGAGAGGCAGGGAGGGTTCAAAGAGGGCGGCACGGAGTGCTGCTCTGCTGGCGAGAGCTGATTGGTGCGTGAAGAATGAGGTGGCTGGCATGGGCGCGTGGAAGGAGATGATTGGCTCTGCTAGCTCCGCCTGGAAGAAACTGACATGGGGGAAGGGGAGCGGGGGAAGGCAGGAGGGGGAGAAAGCGGGGGGGGAGGGGAGGGAGGAAGGGAGGAAACATTTGGAGAGGAGAGGAAAGAGGCAGAAAGGGGAAGGAGGTTGGAGCAAGCCATGGCACGTGTGTGTGCGGCCAGTCGGCCCCCACCAGTGCTTCGATGTCTTTCAACGCGCGAAAGCATGGCCATGCTTGAACTGGCCAAGTCATCCCCATCCCACCTGTGCAGCGCCGTGACGTCGCTGAAGCCGAAGAATCGCTTGCGGCGGACCTGAGTGGCCAGCCGCGAGCGCCTGCTGCTGCCCAGTGCCACGTCAGCAGTGCAGCAGCGAGCCACGTTAGCACTGCAGCAGCGTGCCACGTCAGCACTGCAACCAGTTGATCTATCCGAGCCTCTGCACCCACCATCGCCCCCTGCTGCCCCCGCTCCCGCTCCCCCCACGTCCCCCCGTGCCTCTGCACGCCCCTCTGCTGCATCTTCCCTTTCCCTCATCACCGCCCCTCCACTGTCCCCATCCGCACTCCCACACCCCGTCCGCCCTTCAACCCTCTGCGCGCATCCGCCTGCTTCGCCCTTACCCTCATCCGCATCCCCTTGACCCCCTTTGCCCTCATCACCCGCGGCCCCAGTATTCATGTCCTCATTTCCCCCGCCCTCGTCCGATCCGCCCTCCTTCGTCGCCCCTCCTTCCCCCAACACTGCCTCCGCGCCTCTCTCCAATTCCGCCTTCTCCCCCGCGCCCTCCCACCCTCCGCGCTCGCATTCCCCTTCCCTGCCCCCCTCCTTAAGCGCGCAGGCCAGCAGGGGCAGCAGGCGCGCGCAGCCATACCCGCCTCTGGCGCACACCACAACGCGCGTGCTGGGGTCCAAAAACGCCTCCACCAGACCTGCGGCTCTGGCTCGGTCCGAGCCTGCGAGGTAGGCTTGGCGCAGCTCGACTTGCGGATGCACCACTGGCACGAGACCCCTGTCAAGTTCGGGACGAACGGGGATGGGCAGAGCGAAGCGGGCGGCGGGGCAGCGCGAGGAGGGGAGGGGCAGCGCGGGGGAGAGGCGAGGAGGAGGGGTGGCGCGAGGGGGAGGGAACGGGGAGGGGCAGCGCCAGGGGGAGGGGCGGCCCAAAGGCGTTACAGCGCGTCACGGTACCGCGCAACAGAGCAGCGGCAGTCACGCCGTGTATGATATCGATTTTGCATTCCAAGCTGCTTCCTCAGTCAGTCCTTCACTCAATAGCCCAGCTCACGGCACGTGCGAGCGGCAAGGCGGAGAGCGCGGCAATGCGGCAAGAGCGAGTGCTGGGTGTGCCTCGCCACGCTAGAGAGGGTGCTTGCCTCACCACGACGCCAGCACGTCGCAGCCTTGCTTCAGCAGGCAAGCGTCCACGGCCCCTGCGGGCGCCACGATGCTCACGCGGTCGCCCGCCCTCACTGCCGGCGGCGGGGCGGGACGCGCCGGCGAGCTGCTGCGGTTTGGCATGGCGGTCGTGCTGAGGCTGTAAATGACGAAAGCGCGTCGCTTGCACTCTGTTGGCAGGGTTGCGTGCGTTGCGAGTCAGGACTCGCGATGTCTAGCCGCCGCTACCTACCTGATGGTAAATTCCTCCAGCAGTGTTGAGCAAGGCCTGAGTGGAAAACAAACATGCCCCCAGTAACGTTCTCGCTACAGCTTTACAAGAGAAGGAACATTTGGCAGCGAGTCCAAGTGATTTCCTTATTAAATGACTACACCGAGTCCACTAGTTCCAGTTGTTTTAAGTGGATTTGAGTATTGTGTAATTCATGGCAAAATATCGAGCTCTTACTAAATATAACCTACAAATACTAGCATAAGTTTTTTTAAGGTATTCCCCCCAAGGCTTGTTGTCTGAGCCCTAAAATCAGTCTGTGGTAGTTTCAAAACAATGTTATGAAATGTGAAACTAAATCTATGAGGTTACTACTTAATTAAATAAGTAATTGTTACAGTTTCGTTTCGTGAAAGGTCTCGCAGCTCTGTAAGACCACATATCTGTGCGGTGCAGACTTTCGCAGCCACTCAGTGGCCCCCACGTGCTCTGTACGACGCCATTTCCCAGGGGAGGGAGGCCTCCTTGGTTTGGGGGGAAGGTAAGTTGGTCGCCCCCGCCACACCCTCGAGCACATCCCCGCTGCAAGCCGGCTTGGCAACACCACAGAACGGTACTGTACAGGCGTGCGGCAGCGCACCACCAGAGTGAAGGCGACGTGTGCGGGGCACTGTTTTTCGGCGGGAAGAATCTGCGCCCGAGGACACTACAGTACCAAGGCGCCCCATGCATTTTCTAGGGCGCTCCGCTTTCAGTCAAATCGTTCCGCTCATGTGTCCGCCATCCGCCAAAGTCTACGCTACAGACGTGGTTCTGATTACCTGTAATATGGTTCATGACGTTACAGAGTGGTGACATCATCTGGTCTCCTCGCAGCAAAGCCGCTGGGAAAGGGCGACGCACATTTGAACCACTGGATGCAACCTTGGTAGCGCAACAAATCGTTTTGGAGATGACCAAAACACTGTGCACCGCGTTTCCGGTTCAAACTCCAGGGTCATGATGGTTGCCATAGAATGCCCGATTGAGAAACAGCCGCATCCCCCTCCCCCCTCTCCTCCCACTCCTTTCCCCTCCCCTCCTCCCCCCTCCCCTCCTTTCCACTCCCCTCCTTTCCACTCCCCTCCCCTCCCCTCCCCGTGAGCATTTTCTCCGCCCTCCACCGCAAGTCGGTCCTAGAGTGCCCCCTCACTGCGCCATCTCCCTGCGCAGCACTCCCTGTAATGTACCCACCTCCTCTTCCCCCCCCTTCCCCAGGTTTCAGTGCAACCAGAGCGCCATGGAAGTGCGTCAGGCAACGTGTCGGGTAGAGCACGCATAGATGATGCACACGCTGTGCTGCCGTCAAATCAGTTGTTCGAGAGCCTCGATGCAGCCGCAATATTGCTGGAATAATTGGAATAGTTGGAATAAGAGTCAATGGATGTGGCTGTCTCGCGAGTCCGTGTGAGGCTCCGGTCACTTACTGGTGATCGTCACGCAGCCTGCATGCCATGAGCGCAAGGAAATGCTTTTAGAGTGGTAAACTAGTTAGCCAACGGCGGCTGCTTGGGTTAGGTCAGTGGCGAACGGCCTATCACCGCGTCCGTTACTGGCAAGAATACCTTAATTGTTCATTATTCAGCTTGAATATTCTTAAACGACAGTATCGATTAGTCATCATGTCGTCGACGTCTAAATCCAAGTCGCGCGTGCGCCTCTCGCGGCTGCTCTCATACGCGGGGTGCATCCGGCCACGTGCAGACGAGAGTGAGCTGGTCGGAGAGAAGGGCTTTCAGCGCCACGTGTACTGCAACGAGCCGCATCACCACGTGGAGAAAGGCAGTCCGCTTCGTTATTGTAACAACTCAATTTCCACCACTAAATACTCGATACTGTCCTTCCTCCCCAAGGCGCTATTCGAGCAGTTCCGCCGCGTCGCCAATCTCTACTTCTTGCTCTGCGCCATCCTCGCGCTCACGCCGCTCACGCCGTACGCGCCGTACAGTCTGATCGCGCCGCTCGTGCTGGTGGTGGGCGTGAGCATGATCAAAGAGGCCATCGAAGACTGGCGCCGGTATCTCGCTGTGAGTCCTGCGTCGCCAGCGGTTCTTGTCACATTCAGGGGTGTCATTGTATCTGGCCTCTCAGGAGCGTCACTGAGAAGCGCAAGGAGCTATTAGGAGGGGCGGTTCGAGGAGCGGTTGGAATTGGATTGGAGGGTGAATGGTTGTTGGGCTAACGGTCTCTCCGAGCTCGCTCTTTGCCCATTGCGGTCCTCTCCCGGCGCGACGTTCATCCCCGCCTTCGTTCTCGTCCGCCAATTTCCTCCCCTCACCCCTTCTTCTCCCATTTCCCCCTCTCCTCAATCACCCCCCACCCCCCCCCCCCCCCTTCCTCCATCTTCCCCCCCCTACCTCCTTACATCCATCCTCCCTCCCTTTCCCCCCTCGCCCCCCGTCCCTTACCCGCTTTCCCCCGTCCCCGCCACCCGTCCGCCAGGACGACGAGGTGAACAAGCGCAAGGTGCTGCGGCACGAGGGCGAGGGGCGGTTCGAGCCGTGCGAGTGGAAGGCGGTGCGCGTGGGCGACGTAGTTAAAGTGCTCAAGGACGAGTTCTTCCCCGCGGACCTCCTAATGCTCGCCTCCAGCTACCCGGACGGCATCTGCTACGTCGAAACAATGAACCTGGACGGCGAGACGAATCTTAAACTGCGCAAGGCGCTCGAGCGCACGCTTCCGCTCGAGGACCCCGAGGCGCTCGCGAAATTCACGGCGGAGATTAAGTGCGAGGACCCGAACCCGAGTTTGTATACGTTTGTAGGGAATTTGGAGTGGGACGGCGAGGCGACGTCGCTGACCGCGGCGCAGGTGCTGCTGCGCGACTCGAAGCTGCGCAACACGGCGTGGGTGGTGGGGGTCGTTATCTTTACCGGCCACGACAGCAAGGTCATGATGAACTCGACGGCGGCGCCGTCGAAGCGCAGCTCGATCGAACGGCGCATGGATAAGATCATCTATTTTCTCTTCGCGTGCCTGCTGCTGATGGCGATCGTGGGGAGTATCATTTTCGGCATACGCACGAAGAATCAGATGCCGTCTTGGTGGTACCTCGCGCCGACCGACACTAACGCGTATTACGACCCCGCGAAACCCGCCGTGTCGTCCGTGCTGCAGTGCCTTACGGCGATTATTCTCTACGGTTACCTCATCCCCATCTCGCTGTACGTATCCATCGAGATTGTTAAGATCTTCCAAGCGTGGTTCATTAGTGCCGATCGTGGGATGTACTTCGCGGAAACGGACATGCCGGCGCGCGCGCGCACGAGTAATTTGAACGAGGAGCTAGGACAGGTGGATACTGTGCTAAGCGACAAAACCGGCACGCTGACGTGTAACCAGATGGATTTTCTCAAGTGTTCCATTGCTGGCGTCGCGTACGGCCGCGGAATCACCGAGGTCGAGCGCGCCACGGCGCGGCGGCTCGGGCGGGATCTGAGCGAGCTGGAGGATTACGACGAGGAGGAGGAGCGCGCCGCGGCGGAGGCGGCGGCGAGCGGGACGGCGAAGCCGGGGGTTAAGGGGTTCGCGCTTCGGGATAACAGGCTGCTGGACGGCGCGTGGCTGCGCGAGCCGCACCGCGAGGAGATCCGCGCGTTCCTGCGCGTGCTGGCCGTGTGCCACACCGTCATTCCCGAGGTGGACGAAGCTTCCGGGCAGGTGGAGTACGAGGCGGAGTCGCCTGACGAGGCGGCATTCGTGGAGGCGGCGCGACAGATGGGCGTCGCGTTCTTCAAGCGCACGCAGACGACCGTTTGGGTGCGCGAGCCGGACGAGACGGGGCAGAACACCGTTGACAGGTGAGAAGGGGGGAAGGGCAGCCTTGACAGGTGCGAGCGGGGGGGGACAGCGTTGAGAGGTGAGGCGCGTCAGTGGGCGGCAGATGGGCGTGGCGTTCTTCAAGCGCACGCAGACGACCGTTTGGGTGCACGAACCCGACGAGACGGGGCAGTCAACCGTTGACAGGTGAGGGGTGATGGGGAGCAGCGTTGAGAGGGGGGGGGCAGCGTGGAGAGGTGAGGGGAACTGGGAGGGCAGTGGGCAGTGGAAGAGTGAGCGAGGCAAAAAAGGACAGTGGCGAGAGATGTGAGGGGGACTGGGAGGGCAGGGGAGAGGCGAGTGTGTGAGCAGCAGGGAGGGCAGTGCTGTGGCGAAGCTGCTGCCCTGCAACCCCGCATTGTACCCCTCGCATGTCCTCACTGCCGCCCCCACACTAGGCAAAACACCACCCAGACACTCATTGGGCTCTCGTGTTCCATCCTAGCCCCTCACTCCCCTGACCGGGGGTTGCTCTGCCCACCCTCCAACCCCTCCGCAACAGAGGGGTATTGCTTGCAATCGAGCCCGCATATAGTCAAAATTCAAGTCACATTCCCTCACAACTCCATCCCTCTCCATAACTCAGCTCCCACCCAAGTCCCCAACCGCACCTCCACAGGGTGCACCGCTCTAGCCATAATCAAGCTCAATCGTATTGCACCCCATCCCCAGTCATGACCCCCCCTACTAATTGTAACTCCACACAAACGCCATAGTAACCCCACTCAACCCCAATAATAACTCTACCCACCCTCCCTAAGTCATCCACCTCATCCCTCCTCTCATCATCCCTCCCCTCATCGTCCCTCCTCTCATGGTTCTAATATAAACCAGGAAATCGTACCCCTCCCCCCCTCATCACTCAGCGTCACCCCTCGTCACCCCTTGTCACCCCTCGCCGTCCCTCCCCACCATCCAACAGGGAGTACACGATTCTAGCACTGATAGAGTTCAACTCGACGCGCAAGCGCATGTCAGTGGTGATCCGAGACCCCTCCAACCGCATCCTCCTCATGACCAAGGGCGCCGATTCCGTCATATACGAGCGCCTAGCGCCCACCGGGCGGCAGCATTTGGAAGCTACCCGGACCACCCTGCACCGGTATGGGGAGGCAGGGCTGCGGACGCTGGCGCTGGCGTACAGGGAGTTGAGTGAGGAGGAGTGCGGGGAGTGGCTGGAGCGGTACGAAGGGGCGCGGAGGAGTCTGAGCGCGGAGAGGGAGGCGTTGGTTGATGCTGCTGCGGAGGAGATTGAACAGGGGCTCACTCTGCTGGGGGCCACGGCTGTGGAGGATAAGCTGCAGCAAGGGGTGAGTGTAAAGGGGTGGGGAGGGGTGGTAGAATGGGGAATGGGGGGAAAGGAGTTTGGTGGGAAGGGTGTTTCAAGGGGTGGGAAGGGAGAAGGAAATTTGACAGAGAAGTGGGTTATTAGAGGGGGTTTGAGTGCGGAGAGGGAGGCGGTGGTGGATGCTGCTGCGGAGGAGATTGAGCAGGGGCTGACGCTGCTGGGGGCGACCGCTGTGGAGGATAAGCTGCAGCAAGGGGTGAGTGTAAAGGGGTGGGGGGAGAAAAGATTGGGGGATGTTTCGGAAAGGGAGTTGCAAGGGGTGAGAAGGGAGAAGGGAATGAAACAGAAGGGTACACCCCACATATACTCCCACACACCACCCCATACACCCTCACACACCCCCATACAACCCACACACCCCCAAAGCTCACCCACGTGCCATACCGTGACGATGATACTGGTGGGGTAAGCGAGAGAGAAGTCACGATATGGCACGTGGCTCTTCTCACTCGCCGACCCCACCAGTATCATCATCACCCTCCTGGTGACCAACACATGAACACGGACAGATGCACATATCACAGAATCTGCTTCCACCCTCCCAAGTTCAGCAGAGGTACTTCTCACAGGAGCATCGCTCCCCTCAAGCCACCTTGTGCCCCTCATCCCTTCCCCCCACACCCTGTTCGTCCCCCTTTGCTCGTCCCTTCCCCCCTTGTCCCCCCTCCTCGGCCTGCTTCCCCACCACTCTTTTCAATCCCCCCCTCTGTTCTGTTCATCCCCCCCCCCTTACTCACCCCCCATCTTACTCAACCACCATCTTACTCAACCGCCATCACCGCCATCTTACTCAACCGCCATCTTACTCAACCGCCATCTTACTCAACCGCCATCTTACTCAACCCCCATCTTACTCAACCGCCATCTTACTCACCCCTTACCTTACTCAACCCCCATCTTACTCAACCGCCATCTTACTCACCCCTTACCTTACTCAACCCCCATCTTACTCAACCGCCATCTTACTCACCCCTTACCTTACTCAACCCCCATCTTACTCACCCCCCATCTTACTCACCCCTTACCTTACTCAACCCCCATCTTACTCACCCCCCATCTTACTCACCCCCCCACCCTGACCCTTGAGATCTGGGTGCTCACTTTTTGCCCCCCTCCTGCTTCACCCCTGTTCTCTCCTCCTACCCCATTCCTTCCCCCAAAATCTCCTTCTCCGTTTCCCTTTTCTCAGATATTAGAAGCCTTGCTGTTGCAGTTGGGCGTCAAGATATGGTTGCTCACTTCTGGCTCTCCCCATGCTCCCCACCCTCCCTCTTCGCCCCTTCCCTTTCGCCCCTCTTCCTGACCCTTCAGGTACCGGAGGCCATAGACCGGCTGGCACAGGCGGGCATCAAGATCTGGGTGCTGACAGGGGACAAGCTGGAAACGGCCATCAACATCGGGTGAGATAGCATGGGTGGCAGGGGGGTGGAAACGACTGCCAGGGGGTTGATGGGTGTGGCAGGGAGATAGCCCCGCTAGCACAGGCGGGCATCAAGATATGGGTACTGACAGGGGACAAGCTGGAAACGGCCATCAACATCAAGTGAGATAGCATGGGTGGCGGGGAGATCGCACACATGGGTGGCAGGGAGATGAAGGGGGTGGCAGGGAGATGAAGGGGGTGGCAGGGAGATGAAGGGGGTGGCAGGGAGATAAGCCGGCTGGTGCAGGCAGCCATCAAGATGTGGGTGCTCACAGGGGACAAGCTCGAGACGGCTATCAACATCGGGTGAGATGACACGCGTGGCGGGGAGATGAAAAGTGGCGTTTAATAGGACCTGAGGCTGAAACCAACTGTTGATGAAGTTATGCCAAGGGGTAGATGGGGCCATGAGCACTTTTGGTGGGGCTGCGTAGGGGTGAGAGTGGCTTGGGTTGTGGCCAGGGAGTTGGGAGGCAGGCTTGCAGCAAGGCACTTTGACAACAAGTCTCTAGCCGGGCTTGCAGGTGTGTCTTTGTGGCCTGCAAGTGTGGTTGCTGCTTGTGTGGGGCTGGACAGCGGAGAAACACTTGCAGCGTTTCACTGCTGCAACCGCAGCGGAACCGCAGGGTAGTATCCAAAACTGTGGCTCCAGTTGTCACTGACCCGTTTGTCGCTCTCCTCTCAGCCCTCACTCTTACACCGTCCTGCCACCCTGCTTTAACCAGCCCCTCTCTCCCGCCCCTTTCCCCCCTCCCGCCTCGCCCCTCCGCTGTCCCCCTTTTCACCAGCTTCGCATGCTCGTTGCTGCGGGACGACATGAAGCAGATCGTGGTGTCTCTTGACTCGCCAGACATTCGCAAGCTCGAGGACACCGGGGACAAGGAGAAGCTTGCTGCTGTGAGTATTGATAGTAGCACTGGGTGCTGTGCGGTGCTGTGTGGTGCTGTGTGGTGGCTGTGTGGTGCTGTGTCGTGCTGATCACACAGTAAGCTCAAGGACACTGGGGACAAGGAGAAGCTCGCTGGTGTGAGTATTGTAGCAAGGGGTGCTGTGCGGTGCAGTGTGGTGTTGTAGTGTGGTTCACAGTGCTGTGCTGCAATGGTCACACATTGCACTGGAGGACACCGGGGGCAAGGAGAAGCCCGCCGCTGTGAGTATAGTAGCACTGGGTGCTGTGCGGTGTGGTGTGGTGCTGCATGGCGGGGGTGTGTCGTGGTGATCACATCACGCTGGAGGACACCGGGGATAAGGAGAAGAAGCGTGCTGCAGCGCATGCAAGAAGCGTGCTGCAGCGCATGCAAGAAGCTTGCTGCAGCGCATGCAAGAAGCTTGCTGCAGCGCACGAAAGAAGCGTGCTGCAGCGCATGCAAGAAGCGTGCTGCAGCGCATGCAAGAAGCGTGCTGCAGCGCATGCAAGAAGCGTGCTGCAGCGCATGCAAGAAGCGTGCTGCAGCGCATGCAAGAAGCGTGCTGCAGCGCATGCAAGAAGCGTGCTGCAGCGCATGCAAGAAGCGTGCTGCAGCGCATGCAAGGAGCGTGCTGCAGAATGGAAGTCGCTGCAGTGCCTGCCAGCGTTGTGGTGCAGTGCGGTTCCGTCTGGTCTGATGAAAATGCATTGTCTTTTTCGTTCTCACGCTGTTCCCTACCGTCCATGCTTCACTTCACTCATGGCTGCCGCACTGGAAGCACCGGTGCTGCAAGAGGGGTGCCTTGCTAATAAGGCGACTTCTGTGTCGACTCAAAAGTCGCTTCACTTCACTCATGTGTACAAGACTGGAAACAGCTGTCATGCAAGAGGGGTGCCTTGCTAGTACACCCCACCGCTTGCTATGCCTCACCTCCTTTTCCGCCCTTGCCATTCCTCCCCTCTCCCACCCACCCTCGCCCTTCCGCATTCCTCTCCCCGCACAGGTGTGGAGGGACAGGGTGAAGCGCCTGCTGCTCGACGGCTCCCCGCGCGTACACCCCACCTTTTGCCACACCCCTTCACCTCCCCCCTCCCCTTTTCCCCTCCCTCTCCCGTCCACAATGACACTCCCCCCTCGCCCCCCCTTCCCCAGGTGTGCAGGGACAGAGTGAAGCGGCTGCTGCACGACGGCGCTGCTCTCATCGACCGTGCCCGCGAGGGGGGCGCTCCTGCTGCAGGGGAGCATGCTAATGGTGGGGACGCGGCCGGCACCGGCAATGGCGACGGGGGAGAAGGGGACGGGGAGGTGGACGAGGAAGGGAACGGGGACGGGGAGGGGTCAGCGAGGGTGTTTGCGCTGGTGATAGACGGCAAGTCGCTGGCGTTTGCACTGGAGCCGGAGCTGAGGGCGGCGCTGCTGGCGCTCGCCATGCAGTGTGCCTCTGTGGTGTGCTGCCGCGTGTCGCCCAAGCAAAAGGCGCTGGTAAGGAAAAAAGGGGGGAGAACGGGGGAGGGTTGAGGGGATGGGGAAGATGCTGGCGCTGGCCATGCAGTGCGCCTCCGTGGTGTGCTGCCGCGTGTCGCCCAAGCAGGAGGCGCTGGTAAGAACAAAGGGGGGGAATGGGGGGTGGAGGATTGAGGGAGGGGGGAGAAGGCGGGGGCTGCAGGAAGCAATTCTGGTGCCGTTTTTCATGCCAGGGTCGTCCCCCATGCCCCTAACCACTCACTCCCTCACGCCCTGCTCGCGCCATGCCACCATGCCATGTGGTGCCAAGTGGTGCCATGTGGTGCCATGCGGTGCCAAGTGGTGCCGTGTGGTGCCATGCCATGTGGTGTCATGTGGTGCCATGTGGTGACCTGTGGTACTCCTTCCTGCAGGTGACACGGCTGGTGAAGGACACCACAGGGCGCACGCACGACACTGGCATTGGGGATGAGAAGCAGCATCGCTGAAGCTCATGCCAATTTCCTGCCTCCAGCGTCCTTCTTGCAACTAACCACTCCCTCACGCCCCGTTCCTGCCATGCCACTCCATGTGGTGGTATCTCATGCCATGGCGTGCAGGTGACACGGCTGGAGAAGGACGGCACGGGCTGCATGACACTTTTTTAGTTGACTCGAATATCCCAAGCGATTTCACCCCATCTTTTTTGTGTGTCGTGCTATGGCGTGCAGGTGACGCGGCTGGTGAAGGACGGCACGGGGCGCACGACACTGGGCATTGGGGACGGGGCGAACGATGTGGGCATGATCCATGAGGCGGACATTGGCGTTGGGATCAGTGGCGTGGAGGGACAGCAGGTGAGAGAGAGAGGGCGAGCAGATGAGAGAAAGTGTGTGAGCGAGTAGGTGAGAGAGAGGGGAAGCAGGTGAGAGAGAGAGGGCTTGCAGATGAGAGAAAGTGTGTGAGCGAGTAGGTGAGAGAGAGGGGAATCAGGTGAGAGAGAGAGAGGGCGAGAGAAAGGGTGTGAGAGAGGGGGAGCAGGTGAAAGCGATGAACGATGTGGGCATGATTCATGAGGCGGACATTGGTGTGGGGATCAGCAGCGTGGAGGGGCAACAGGTGAGCGAGAGGGGTGGCAGGTGAGCGAGAGGGGTGGCAGGTGAGCGAGAGGGACAGCAGGTGAGAGAGAGGGGTGGCAGGTGAGCGAGAGGGACAGCAGGTGAGCGAGAGGGGTGGCAGGTGAGCGAGAGGGACAGCAGGTGAGCGAGAGGGACAGCAGGTGAGCGAGAGGGACAGCAGGTGAGCGAGAGGGGCAGCAGGTGAGAGAGAGGGGCAGCAGGTGAGAGAGAGGGGCAGCAGGTGAGAGAGAGGGGCAGCAGGTGAGAGAGAGGGGCAGCAGGTGAGAGAGGGGCAGCAGGTGAGAGAGGGGCAGCAGGTGAGAGAGAGGGGCAGCAGGTGAGAGAGAGGGGCAGCAGGTGAGAGAGAGGGGCAGCAGGTGAGAGAGAGGGGCAGCAGGTGAGAGAGAGTGGCAGCAGGTGAGAGAGAGGGGCAGCAGGTGAGAGAGAGTGGCAGCAGGTGAGAGAGGGGCAGCAGGTGAGAGAGAGTGGCAGCAGGTGAGAGAGAGGGGCAGCAGGTGAGAGAGAGTGGCAGCAGGTGAGAGAGAGGGGCAGCAGGTGAGAGAGAGGGGCAGCAGGTGAGAGAGAGTGGCAGCAGGTGAGAGAGAGGGGCAGCAGGTGAGAGAGAGGGGCAGCAGGTGAGAGAGAGGGGCAGCAGGTGAGAGAGAGTGGCAGCAGGTGAGAGAGAGGGGCAGCAGGTGAGAGAGAGTGGCAGCAAGTGAGAGAGAGGGGCAGCAGGTGAGAGAGAGGGGCAGCAGGTGAGAGAGAGTGGCAGCAGGTGAGAGAGAGGGGCAGCAGGTGAGAGAGAGGGGCAGCAGGTGAGAGAGAGTGGCAGCAGGTGAGAGAGAGGGGCAGCAGGTGAGAGAGAGGGGCAGCAGGTGAGAGAGAGGGGCAGCAGGTGAGAGAGAGTGGCAGCAGGTGAGAGAGAGTGGCAGCAGGTGAGAGAGAGGGGCAGCAGGTGAGAGAGAGGGGCAGCAGGTGAGAGAGAGTGGCAGCAGGTGAGAGAGAGGGGCAGCAGGTGAGAGAGAGTGGCAGCAGGTGAGAGAGAGGGGCAGCAGGTGAGAGAGAGTGGCAGCAGGTGAGAGAGAGGGGCAGCAGGTGAGAGAGAGGGGCAGCAGGTGAGAGAGAGTGGCAGCAGGTGAGAGAGAGGGGCAGCAGGTGAGAGAGAGGGGCAGCAGGTGAGAGAGAGTGGCAGCAGGTGAGAGAGAGGGGCAGCAGGTGAGAGAGAGTGGCAGCAGGTGAGAGAGAGGGCGAGCATCCATAGTTGCGCACCGCTCTACCACCATAGCCCGTTCCCCCACCCCACGTCTGCAACCGCGCCTCTGCTCCTCCTCCCCAATCACTCAACCACCCTCCCCTCTTCAACCCACCTACTCCCGCGCATCTCTCCCTCTGGCAGGCGGTGATGGCGAGTGACTTTGCCATAGCACAGTTCAAGTACCTGGAGCGACTGCTGCTCGTGCTTGCCCTTCCTCCCTGCCCTCTCCCCGTTCTCCCAACCCCTCACTCCCCACCCCCACCACCCTCCCCTCCCCCCTCTTTCAGGCGGTGATGGCGAGTGACTTTGCCATAGCACAGTTCAAGTACCTGGAGCGACTGCTGCTCGTGCTTGCCCTTCCTCCCTGCCCTCTCCCCGTTCTCCTGCCCCCCTCACATCCCCCCGCCACCCTCCCCTCTCCCTCCCCCCCATGGCAGGCGGTGATGGCGAGTGACTTTGCCATAGCACAGTTCAAGTACCTGGAGCGACTGCTCGTGCCTTTTGAGTTGACTCAACAGTCACCCCTGCCACCCCCCCTCTTGCCCCTCTCCCTCCCCCCCATGGCAGGCGGTGATGGCGAGTGACTTCGCCATAGCACAGTTCAAGTACCTGGAGCGGTTGCTGCTAGTGCACGGCCACTGGAGCTACAAGCGCATCGCCAACGCCGTCAGTGCCCTGCCCTGCCCTGCCCTGCCCTTCCCTGCTCCCCCTCATACCCCCAACCCTCTTTTCTCTCTTTTTGAATCCGTTGCTCCTCCTCCACCATCCTTCTCAGCGCTCCCTACCATTCTGGCCGCGTCCCTTGCTACCTACCGCCCTTCCGCATTCTTCATTCTTCTTCTTCGTTCATGGGTGCATCTGCTTGTCTGTCCTTTTTATGACCATTCCAGAATTTCAATAAGCTCGAAATCGCAAGCTTGTTTTGCACTCCCTACTCTTATAGTGCACTCAACTAGTGCAGCTCTCGTCTCATCACCCCCATCTCCCCATTTTCCTCATCCCCATTTCCCCCATCTCCGCACACCACACTGCAGGTCACCTCGGGCCTTCGGCCTGACCATTGTTTACTACAATGCGACCTGCTTTCGCACTCCCTGCTCCCATAGTAGTGCACTCACTTAGCCCACCTCTCCTCCCATCTCCCCATCATCTCCCCATCCTCACCCCCCTGCAGGTCACATACTTTTTCTACAAGAACGTGGCGTTTGGCCTCCCCATCTTTGACTACAACGCGTAGGCAGCTCAGTGAACCTCCGCCTCCATCTCCCCCATCTCCGCCTGTGCACCCCATGCAATCCATGCTGCCCTGCACCCCCCTCACCGCCCCACAGGTGACCTATTTCTTCTACAAGAACGTGGCGTTCGGCCTCACCATCGTCTACTACAACGCGCGCGTGTTCCGCCCTCCCTGCTCCATAGTGGTGCATTAGCTTACCCCACCTCTCGTTCCATCTCCCCATCCCCCGCTGCAGGTGACCTATTTCTTCTACAAGAACGTGGCCTTCGGCCTGACCATCTTCTACTACAACGCGTATGCGGTGTTCTCCGGGCAGATAGTGTACAACAGCTGGGCGTGCTCGCTCTACAACGTCTTCTTCACTTCGCTGCCCGTCATCGGCTACGGGGTGTTGGAGCAGGACCTCTCCGACAAACAGCTGCTCATGGTGGGTGGGGGGCATGTGGGGCTGTGTGGGGGTGTGTGGAGCGCTGGAGCATAGTGTACAACAGCTGGGCGTGCTCGCTCTACAACGTCTTTTTCACCTCGCTGCCCGTCATCGGCTACGGTGTGCTGGAGCAGGACCTGTCAGACAAACAACTGCTCATGGTGAGTGCGGTCTCTGTGGTAAGCTGTGCTCTATACCCGTGCCCGCTGCCCGTCATCGGCTACGGTGTGCTGGAGCAGGACCTCTCCGATAAGCAGCTGCTCATGGTGAGTGCGGTCTGTGTGGTAAGCTGTGCTCTATACCCGTGCCCGCTGCCCGTCATTGGCTACGGTGTGCTGGAGCAGGACCTCTCCGATAAGCAGCTGCTCATGGTGAGTGCGGTCTGTGTGGTAAACTGTGCTCTATACCCGTGCCCGCTGCCCGTCATCGGATACGGTGTGCTGGAGCAGGACCTGTCAGACAAACAACTGCTCATGGTGAGTGCGGTCTGTGTGGTAAGCTGTGCTCGACACCCCGGAATGACATGTGCAGTGCTCCCCATGCCCGCTACCCCTCATCGGCTATGGCGTGCTGGAGCAGGACCTCTCCGACAAGCAGCTGCTCATGGTGAGTGAGTGGGGGCTGTGTGGGGCCGCGTGGGGTGGTGTGGGGCTCATGGTGAGCATAAAGTCGCCTCACAAGTCACTCTGCCATCGGCTATGGCGTGCTGGAGCAGGACCTCTCCGACAAGCAGCTGCTCATGGTGAGTGCGGGCCGTGTGGGGTGGTATGGGGCCGTGTGGGGCCGAGTGGGGCCGTGTGGGGGCGAGCAGGTGCTCGTGGTGAGGTGTGAGTCGCCTCACAGTCACTCTGTCATCGCCTCCATGTTGCCTGTCAGACTCACGCCCTGCATTTCCCTCCACTTCCTCCTGCGTGCCCCCCTTCCCCCCGCCAGTTCCCAGCGCTGTACCAGCAGGGCCCTAAGAACGTGTTCTTCCACTGGACCACCATCGCCATGTGGATCGGCTATGGGGTCTTCCAATCCGTGCTGCTCTTCTGGACCTGCCTCGCCGCCGTGCTGCCCCAGGCGTCTCTCCCCTCGGGCAAGCTATTTGAGATGAACGGGCTCAGCGCCACACTCATGACGGGCGTGGTCGTGGCAGTGAATATTCAGATCGCGCTTATAACGGAGCATTGGACCTGGATTACGCACCTCTTCATCTGGGGTAGCATCGCGGTTTGGTACTTCTTTCTCGGGGTGTACTCGTATTTCGGCCCGGATTGGTCCACGGATTATTACTACATTTTCTCCGAGGTGCTGGCGCCGAGCGCGCTCTACTGGCTCACAGGGCTCCTGCTGCTACCAGTGATGGCAGTGCTGCCGTATTTTGTGTTCCGCGGGGTAGAGTCGAGGATAGCACCGCCGGATCAGCAGATAGTGCAGGAAATAGTGAAGCTTAAGCAGGACGAGGAGGCGGCCAAGGCGGCTGTGGCGCCCCCGCTGGCGCCGGTGGGGTTCACTGCAGCTGTAGAGGCGGTGAGCAAGCGGTTGAGGAAGGTGGAGAAGAAGCGGCGGAGACGAGGAGAGAAGTGAGGACGAGAAGAAATGTGAGGGGTGGTGCAGGGGATCGTGCGGTTGAAGCAGGACGAGGAGGCGGCCAAGGCGGCTGTGGCGCCGCCGCTGGCGCCGGTTGGGTTTACTGCAGCTGTAGCCGCGGTGAGCAAGCGGTTGAGGAAGGTGGAGAAGAAGCGGCGGAGACGAGGGGAGAAGTGAGGTGTGCAGTGGGGTGTTGAGGGGGGTGGTGCGGTGGAGCAGGGTAAGGAGGTGGTTGTTGGAATGTTGTGGCGCTGCTTGTTGCTCCGAGTGGGTACATGGCATGGCAGTGGATGCGATGGGGTAGGGACTACGAAGGCACAGGCAGAGAGAGGCAGAGACAGGAAGAGGAAGATGAGGAGGCAGTGGCTCTTCTGCAGGTTGCTGTTGTGTTGTGATATGGTGGACGGATCCGTTTTCTGTTGTAGTGTATATGCATTGAGTAAAGTTGCATGCCAAATGGGTGCAGGGAAATAAAGTAATAAGTCGGCGTAGACATGCATGGACACAATTTAGATCCCATATCATAGAGGTACCATATCACTCCCCTAGTACGGTATTTGCATTGCTGATCGGTTGTACGGTACCTGTCTTTAAATGCCGGGGATAACCGTCCCACGCGACTGATACATTTAGTACCACCAGTTTTGTGCTCGTCTCTTTGTCTAATAGAATTTTGCCCTCTTTTTATCAACCACCACTCATACTCACTTTGGACGACTACAGCGTCAATGTTCTTCTGCTAGAGGCTCAGAAATACGTAAACACACAAACTATACATTATTGAGTTGATACCAATCCAAACCAGTAGCCAAATACTAGACCTACCTACCTATGCATGCAAGTCTCCAATATTGGAGACATCTCCAAAACCGTCTCCTTGCCTTAACAGCTTAAAGCCGGAAGCCCAAATTGCACAAGTTTTAAAGCCAGGATCTCAAGTAAGAGAAATTGGCTTCAATTGCAAAACACTTGCAGCTCGAGTCACCCTGTTTGTTTAGGCGAAATCGAGTGGTTGGGTTGGAGGTTCAGTGTGCGACTGATCCCCGATTTGCCCGTGAATCTCAATTGCAAAACAAATTGCTGTGCATGAGATTTTTCGGCAAGTGAGACACATTGCTGGGAAATGAGCTTCGGAACCCAACCAGATTTCCGTGCCTAGTTGGTTCGGAAGTTCACTGCGATTTTTGTTTGCTTCGCATCCCTCGTTTCAGCTCTCGTCAACTACTCTACCTCGTCAACCAATCACAGCCTAACACAATTCACTAACTGCAAAACAGCCAAACTACTTGAGATCCTGGCTTTAAAAGGATGACGCGAGGGGGTTTTCCTGCTTTGGGCTTTGGCGAGTGATTCCGATTTCGGGCATTTCGTTTTTTTCGCCAAAACCAGCCAGCCCACGTATTTCGCCCTGGGGGTTGTGTCAGCACCCGAAAGTCCCAAATTGCAGGTGCGCTACTTTTCAAAGCTTGCACACTGCACTTCGTCAAGTTTTAAAAGCATGACCCACGCGCCTCACAATTTGGGACTCGGGCTTTAAGCAGGCAGGCGAATGGCCTTGTAGGCCTTGAGGTTGTCTGTGATGGCACTTTCCACGGGCAGGCGCTCCATGCTGGACGCGCCATAGAAGCCGTGCACCCCCCGCGTGTTCTGCAGTATGTAGCACGCCTCCTCTGGCCCGTTGATGGGACCTGGTGGGGTACATACAAGGGTTGGCAGGGACAAGACAAGGACAGTGGAGGGAGATGTGGACGGGCCTCCATGCTGCACGCGCCGTAGAAGTCGTGAACCCCCCCCACTTGTGCTGCAGGATGTACCTTGACCTGGTGGGGCCTGGGGGTCAGCACGGACACACGGGTTGGCATGAACAAGAACACGAGAAGGAAGGTGAAGGGAGGTCAAGGTGGGTGGGAGGATACCAACCAGGCTCACGGACTGTCACCAGGATATCTTTGAGGCGCCCCAGTCACCCCACCGCACAGCACCACTCACCACCGTGGCACAGCACGAACACGTCAGGGTTCACCCCTCTAGCAGCGTCAGCCATGCGCTGCACTCGCCCCACCGCCTCCTGTAGAGAGCACACCGTTCTCGCCCCTATGCTGCCCTACTCATTCCCCAGTGCACGTCCCAGTACCACCCCAGTCACCCCACCGCACAGCACCACTCACCACCATGGCACAGCACGAGAACGTCGGGGTTCACCCCTCTAGCAGCATCAGCCATGCGTTGCACTCGCCCCACCGCTTCCTCCAGAGAGCACACCGTTCTCGCCCCTATGCTGCCCGCTGCCGTGAGCCCCATATGCGCCACCACCACATCTGCCCCGGCCCCAGCCATGCTCCGCGCCTCCTCCTCGTTAAAAGCATACGGCGTCGTGAGGGAAACCCAGCACACTAGCCGTTTTAATCATGGCGACTTCGAGCGGGTACCCCATGTTGGTCTCCTCTAGGTTGGTGCGGAAAGAGCCATCATAGAGGCCGACGGTGGGGAAGTTTTGGACTCCCGCGAAGCCGAGGGCGGCGAGGCGGCGCAGGAAGAGGGGCATCTGGCGGAAAGGGTCCGTTGCACACACCCCCGCTAGCACCGGCACTGATTTGATGACCTGGAGAGGGTGGGTAAACGGGGAGATGAGAAGAGAGGGGGGGATAAGGGGGAGAGAATGGGCGGTTTCCTCTAGGTTGGTGCGGAAGGAACCATCATAGAGGCCCACTGTGGGGAAGTTTTTGACTCCTGCAAAGCCGAGGGAGGCGAGGCGGCGAAGGAAGAGGGGTAGTAAAACAGTTTCGACCTGGATCCAACAGGTAACTCGTCCTAATCTTCTCTAGGCTGAGCTTAGGCTAGTAGGGATTGAATAGGTAAGAAATTGTCATTCAAACCTGAGCGTACGCGCGTTTCGGCCGGTGGCCTTCATCAGCGCTCTCAGAGTTACAAGAAAGAACTACTCCTTATCTACTCCCATCTACCTTGCCCAGCACTCAACCAAGAAACAAGAAATCCAGTGCGGCTCGTCATTGCGGCTCGCTAGCTGGCTGTACAACATTTACAATGACAGTCCAACATGCAGGTTGGTGGGACGAATTCAATCCCATCAACTCACGGGGGTGGTGTATCCCCGTTTTTGAAACTTCGCTTTCACCAAGAGGTTACGTACCCTCTTTGGTAGGCGCCAACACACTAACATCCGTGGGAGGGAAATATATTGCAGCGAGTGTTTTTTGAGAATTCTTTGAGATTTTTTTGAGAATTCTCGAGTGTTTTTTGAGAATTCTCAAAAAACACTGGCGGAAAGGGTCCGTTGCACACACTCCTGCCAGCACTGGCACTGACTTGATTACCTGGGGGAGCAGGTTGGGGGTAAGGGGGGAGAAAAGGTGGGAGGGAAGGGGGTGGGAAATGGGTTTCAGGAAGAGGAAGGGGACTTTGGCAGCACCTCTCCCTACAATCACACTCGCTGGCAGCACCTCTCCCTACAATCACACTCACCGGCAGCACCTCTCCCTACAATCACACTCACTGGCAGCACCTCCTTAGCCATATCTTCCACGACAGCATTGGCATCAGCAAACGGCAGCACCTGTCGCTCACAGCCACTTACTACAGGCAGGCTGGTGCCCTGACAGCCACTGACCGGCAGCAAACTTATGAGAAAACGCTAAGCAAAAGGATAAAGACTTGCAAAAAATTGTTCCTAGAAATTCAAGAAAATCTCAAAGCTTCCAAACCTCGAAAAACCCTTAGTCGCAAACTAGTTTCGGCCAAACGGGACAGAACCCCGCTAAGCCTTCATCAGTGCTGCTTTACAGGTTTTCTCACCGGCAGCACCACTCACCCGCTAAACGGCAGCAGCCCTGCCAGCGACCCGCGCCCCGCCATGCGGAAGCGCCCCGAGTTGTAGATGACGATGAGATCCACTCCGCCCATCTCCTCACACTTGGCGCTTATCCCCGTGCGTGCACCTCCCATCTCCTCGCAATGCTGTCCCACTCACCAGCAGGACCTCCAAATACCATCAGATGCCTCTGCTCACCGCAATCACACTCACCGGGAGAACCTCTTTAGCCATGTCCTCCACCACAGCATTGGCATCGGCGAAAGGCAGCAACCCTGCCAGCGACCCGCGCCCCGCCATGCGGAAGCGGCCCGAGTTGTAGATGACAATGAGATCCACTCCGCCCATCTCCTCACACTTGGCGCTTATCCCCGTGCGTGCACCTCCCATCTCCTCGCAATGCTGTCCCACTCACCAGCAGGACCTCTAAATACCATCAGATGCCTCTGCTCACCGCAATCACACTCACCGGGAGAACCTCTTTAGCCATGTCCTCCACCACAGCATTGGCATCGGCGAAAGGCAGCAACCCTGCCAGCGACCCGCGCCCAGCCATGCGGAAGCAGCCCGAGTTGTAGATGACAATGAGATCCACTCCGCCCATCTCCTCACACTTGGCGCTTATCCCCGTGCGTGCACCTCCCATCTCCTCGCAATGCTGTCCCACTCACCAGCAGGACCTCTAAATACCATCAGATGCCTCTGCTCACCGCAATCACACTCACCGGGAGAACCTCTTTAGCCATGTCCTCCACCACAGCATTGGCATCGGCGAAAGGCAGCAACCCTGCCAGCGACCCGCGCCCAGCCATGCGGAAGCGGCCCGAGTTGTAGATGACAATGAGATCCACTCCGCCCATCTCCTCACACTTGGCGCTTATCCCCGTGCGTGCACCTCCCATCTCCTCGCAATGCTGTCCCACTCACCAGCAGGACCTCTAAATACCATCAGATGCCTCTGCTCACCGCAATCACACTCACCGGGAGAACCTCTTTAGCCATGTCCTCCACCACAGCATTGGCATCGGCGAAAGGCAGCAACCCTGCCAGCGACCCGCGCCCAGCCATGCGGAAGCGGCCCGAGTTGTAGATGACAATGAGATCCACTCCGCCCATCTCCTCACACTTGGCGCTTATCCCCGTGCGTGCACCTCCCATCTCCTCGCAATGCTGTCCCACTCACCAGCAGGACCTCTAAATACCATCAGATGCCTCTGCTCACCGCAATCACACTCACCGGGAGAACCTCTTTAGCCATGTCCTCCACCACAGCATTGGCATCGGCGAAAGGCAGCAACCCTGCCAGCGACCCGCGCCCCGCCATGCGGAAGCGGCCCGAGTTGTAGATGACAATGAGATCCACTCCGCCCATCTCCTCACACTTGGCGCTTATCCCCGTGCGTGCACCTCCCATCTCCTCGCAATGCTGTCCCACTCACCAGCAGGACCTCTAAATACCATCAGATGCCTCTGCTCACCGCAATCACACTCACCGGGAGAACCTCTTTAGCCATGTCCTCCACCACAGCATTGGCATCGGCGAAAGGCAGCAACCCTGCCAGCGACCCGCGCCCAGCCATGCGGAAGCAGCCCGAGTTGTAGATGACAATGAGATCCACTCCGCCCATCTCCTCACACTTGGCGCTTATCCCCGTGCGTGCACCTCCCATCTCCTCGCAATGCTGTCCCACTCACCAGCAGGACCTCTAAATACCATCAGATGCCTCTGCTCACCGCAATCACACTCACCGGGAGAACCTCTTTAGCCATGTCCTCCACCACAGCATTGGCATCGGCGAAAGGCAGCAACCCTGCCAGCGACCCGCGCCCAGCCATGCGGAAGCGGCCCGAGTTGTAGATGACAATGAGATCCACTCCGCCCATCTCCTCACACTTGGCGCTTATCCCCGTGCGTGCACCTCCCATCTCCTCGCAATGCTGTCCCACTCACCAGCAGGACCTCTAAATACCATCAGATGCCTCTGCTCACCGCAATCACACTCACCGGGAGAACCTCTTTAGCCATGTCCTCCACCACAGCATTGGCATCGGCGAAAGGCAGCAACCCTGCCAGCGACCCGCGCCCAGCCATGCGGAAGCGGCCCGAGTTGTAGATGACAATGAGATCCACTCCGCCCATCTCCTCACACTTGGCGCTTATCCCCGTGCGTGCACCTCCCATCTCCTCGCAATGCTGTCCCACTCACCAGCAGGACCTCTAAATACCATCAGATGCCTCTGCTCACCGCAATCACACTCACCGGGAGAACCTCTTTAGCCATGTCCTCCACCACAGCATTGGCATCGGCGAAAGGCAGCAACCCTGCCAGCGACCCGCGCCCAGCCATGCGGAAGCGGCCCGAGTTGTAGATGACAATGAGATCCACTCCGCCCATCTCCTCACACTTGGCGCTTATCCCCGTGCGTGCACCTCCCATCTCCTCGCAATGCTGTCCCACTCACCAGCAGGACCTCTAAATACCATCAGATGCCTCTGCTCACCGCAATCACACTCACCGGGAGAACCTCTTTAGCCATGTCCTCCACCACAGCATTGGCATCGGCGAAAGGCAGCAACCCTGCCAGCGACCCGCGCCCAGCCATGCGGAAGCGGCCCGAGTTGTAGATGACAATGAGATCCACTCCGCCCATCTCCTCACACTTGGCGCTTATCCCCGTGCGTGCACCTCCCATCTCCTCGCAATGCTGTCCCACTCACCAGCAGGACCTCTAAATACCATCAGATGCCTCTGCTCACCGCAATCACACTCACCGGGAGAACCTCTTTAGCCATGTCCTCCACCACAGCATTGGCATCGGCGAAAGGCAGCAACCCTGCCAGCGACCCGCGCCCAGCCATGCGGAAGCGGCCCGAGTTGTAGATGACAATGAGATCCACTCCGCCCATCTCCTCACACTTGGCGCTTATCCCCGTGCGTGCACCTCCCATCTCCTCGCAATGCTGTCCCACTCACCAGCAGGACCTCTAAATACCATCAGATGCCTCTGCTCACCGCAATCACACTCACCGGGAGAACCTCTTTAGCCATGTCCTCCACCACAGCATTGGCATCGGCGAAAGGCAGCAACCCTGCCAGCGACCCGCGCCCAGCCATGCGGAAGCGGCCCGAGTTGTAGATGACAATGAGATCCACTCCGCCCATCTCCTCACACTTGGCGCTTATCCCCGTGCGTGCACCTCCCATCTCCTCGCAATGCTGTCCCACCCACCCACCCACCCACCCACCCACCCTGCTGCCACTTGGGCTCGCAGGGAGTGCAGGATGGCGGTGCGACGGGTTACTAGCCAGGGGATTGGGGTGAGGTCGAAAGCAGGGGGTGGGTTGAGAGTGGTGGAGAGGGGTGCGGAAGGGGAGGTGATGGTGGTTGGTTCAGCGGGTGAGGGAGTAGCGGTGGAAGCAGAAGGATCCGCGGCAGAAGCAGTGGGAAGAGGAGGAGGAGGTGAGAGGGGTTGGGTGGATGGGAGGAGGGGCAAGAGAGCATTGACGAGGGCAGCAGCAAAGGCAGGATCGTTGATGTGGTGACGCACACGAATGATCTGTGAGGGGGAGAAAGCGGGAGGGAGTAGTGGGTGGGAGAAGGAATGGGAGAGGAAGAATGATAGAGATAGAGTGAGTGAGAGGTTCAGGTCCTTCACAGCACACACCACTTGTCTCCCCCACAGCACACACCACTTGTCTCCCCCACAGCACACACCACCCATTTCCCTGTTGCCATCAGCAAAACCTCTTTGCTCAAGATTCTTAAAAAGAACAGCATCCACAACACAGCTTCACAAACAGCACCGCACTGCACCGCACTCTATCCCTCCCACCCTTCACCCTACCCACCTTCCTGCTATCCGTCTGCACCACTTGTTTCTCCAGCTCATCAAACAGAGCAGCGTCAGCAGCGGGGTCCCAGAAGGCCATGCCCGGGGCGTCTAGGGCCGACAGCCCGCCCTCAGGCACCAGCAGCGTCACGGGCGCCTGTGATTGGTTCATCTTGCCTGCGATGAACTGCGCGATCCGACGGTTCTCGTCGGCCGTTGTGCGCATGAGGGTGACCTGGGGGGTTGGTGAGTGGGAGGAGGGGGGAGAGGGATGCAGGAGAGGGGAGCAGGAGAGAGCGCACAGATACTTGACCGGCGCTCCACAGAGACTTCGCATTGAAACAACAAGTACAATGATCATATCCTCTCATCATCTCCCCTCGCTAGCCTGCACGCCACCCTCACAATCATACTTGCGGGTTGTGCACGTGCATGGTGCGCCCCTCTACTATTCCTGACAGTACTCCCTCTTCCACTATTTCATAATAACCAACCTCTTCCCAGCACATCACCCCACAACCTACCTCGTATCACCCAAGCGCATCACCCGACACAACATTCCCTCAGAATCACTAACCTCTCCTTGAGAACCCCCCCACGATTATACCTGCGGGTTGTGCACGTGCAGGGTGTACCCTTCAACCTCCGGAGTCGGCTCAAAATTCACCTTGATAGAACTCCTTGGCAATATCTCGCTTCTCCCTGCACATCCCCTCACAATCACACCTGCGGGTTGTGCACGTGCGTACGACACTTGATAACATTCCTCTATGAATACTCCACGACCACACCTGTGGGTTGTGCACGTGACAATGTTCCTCCATACTCGACACATTGTGGTCGCATCACCTCACAGTCATACCTGCGGGTTGTGCACGTGCAGGGTGCGCCCCTCAAACTCCTTGGGCACGGAGGAAGCTTCTCCGAAGTTGACCATGTCGAGCGCCCCCAGGCTGAGCACGAGAGGAACCTTCCTCTGAATGGCGGCATCGAACCTGGTGGGCAGGCACGGCATGGTGCCGCCTGCTATGAAGTCCGCTACCTCCGTTGTTGTGATGTCCAGCACAGCCTGAGGAGTGGGGGATGGGCAGTGGGAAGCGGGGGAGGAGTGAGGGGCATGATTGGAGTGACTCTCACGAACCTGGTGGGCCGACACGGCATGGTGCCGCCCACTATGAAGTCCGCCACCTCCGTTGTCGTGATGTCAAGCACTGCCTAGAAAGAGGGGGGGAGGGGAGGGGTGGAGAAACAGGGGGGAGTGAAGGGTGGGGAGTGGCTCTCACGAGTCTGGTGCAGCGCAGACAGGGTGTGGTGTGGTGTAGTGTGGTGTCGCCTATTATGAGGTCTGCTGTCTCTGTTGCCTGGGGACTGGGGGAGAGGGGAGCGCAGGCAGAGGGCGAGGGGGTGCGTGGGGTGAGTTACTATGGTGATGGACTCACTAGTGGGGATGTTCCCGAGGATGCTACCAAGTGGACGGGACATGGTGCCGCCCACTATGACCTCTCGCTGTCTATCAGTGTCTTGCCGTGATCATAAATAGCAGCACGGGGGGTGGGGGGGGGATGAGTAGCGTGGGAGGGGGATTGAGCAGAGGAGGAAAGAGAGGGCGGAATGTGCGGGGAGGAGAGAGAGTGGTTGAAGCAAGGGAGAATGTGCAGCGGGCCTGAACACATTGAACGAGTCAATCAACGGGCGCACCTGAATGAGTCCAGACGCAACGTTCTCCTCCATGGCCCTTCCCCCCGTGCCCGTCGCATGGAACACCACCGTCTCCACAGCCTCTGCGCCCCCCTCCTTGCCCTCCTTCCCGCCCTTGCTGCTGAGCAGGCGCTGCACCTCCGTAACACACGGGGTGGTAACCCCAAACATCGTGATCCCCACCGTCACAGGCGCACACACGCCCAGAGCAGCCTCCCCAGCCGCAGGGGAAGGCGGTTGGGCGGGCAGGGCGCGCAGGAGCAGCATGCCAGCAAGGGCAGCGGCGGCGGAGGAGAGGGCTGCGCGGAGAATGGCGTTCAGCCCCGCCACGTCCGCCACTGATGGGAGCAGCAGCAGGTCCGACGTTCCCACGTACGGTGCGGTGTTGCCACTGAGTGGTAGTAGCGCGCGTTAAGAGGCATGAAGGGGGAGGGGGGGGGCGCGGGTGTGGAAAGAGGTGGGGTACAGGGGAAGGGGGATGAAGGGTGCAGTGGAGCAGAGGGGAAGGGTCAGGGCCGAGGGAGGGGCGGGAAGGGGGAACGGCAGGGCAGAGGGCAGGTGTAATGATGAGGGTTCTTGCGTGCAGTGCCCATGGCTGTGTGTGTGGGATGCACGAGAGGCGCAGGGAGGACGGGGTGGGACGTGGTGGGACGTGGTGGGACGTGGTGGGACGTGGTGAAGGCGTCCATCCTTCCTCGTTCAGTAACTCCTTACAGTCTCACTTCTCCACATATTCACCTCGTTAGAACGACGCACCTGGCGACGGTGGAGACAATAATCTTGGGAACGCCGACGGGAAGTTCCTTAAGCGCGGGCGCAATGATGGCGGTTCCGCCGCTCCCCCCGATCCCCGCCGCGCCCGCCAGCGCGCCCGCGTCCCACTTCCCCCGCACGAACCGCTTCAGCGCGTCGGTCACCGCCTGCACCGCCTCTCCGCGATCCGTGGCGAGAGACGCGGCGGATTTCGCGGCGGCGTCTGGATTCGACGCGAGGACGTCGGAGACGGAGATTGTAGGGAATGGTGTGCTTGTAACGGGAGCCGCGGATGACGGAGACGCGGAGACGTCGACTATAGAGATGGAGAAAGGCGGTTCGGTCGGGATTAAGGTGGTAAGGGATTGTTTGAGCTGCGACGCGAGGAAGAGGAGTTCATCGGATTTCGTGTCCATTGTGCCTATAACGAATACCTCGCGCGGGGCGGCCATGATTGCGCGCGGGCAAGTGGGTCGAACGAGCTACTGCGTGTACGCTCTACGGAGTGCCTCGATGTCAGTCTGAATGCGCGGCGAGAACAAGCACTACTAGTTCCGACAACAATGCCAGGTCTGAAAGGTGTCGAAGTCGAAACGGCGCAGCGACGACTTGGTGGCGACGTTATATGAGATTTTGGAAATCTTGAAATCCGGAGCCCTCTAGCCAGCTACAGTATGAATTCCGGACTAGTCGAGAGATGTATGGTATGTAAATGGAAGCATGGATGGGGGAAATCCTACCAGAGGAGAAAGAGACTGCAGCGGTTGCCGTCAAGTTTAGTCTATCCAGCCGAGTCTTTCCGTCAAGCACCCAAAAACATCGACACAAACCAACATCACACCCCATTTTTCCCTTTGGCAGCCTTTTTCTGACGTGGCAAGATGCAGATCCACACCAGCTCAGCTTGGGAGTCTCGTTGACTTCGCGAGGACGAGGATAACAATTGTTGTTCTCTGTACAATGTCACCCTGATTTACACCTTGCAACAAAGGGCACTAAGACCCTTGAACTAACAACTGCCATTCAAAAAGTCAACCTTCTTTGATTGGTTCCCCTTCTGAGTTCTAACAAGGCTTCGCTCTGAAAATAAAAACCATGCTAATTTCTGTCCGTATCAAACAGGAAATCAGAGCTGACTCACGCATCTGTTTGTTGCACCTCTTGAGCATGTGCCGCATTGGCATGCTGCAAGTCATCCATAAGTTCCTCCACAGGCACCCCATAGTAGTCGTCATCATACTCATAATCATCGTCCCCTCCGCCCGTCCCCTCTCCACCCCCCTCCCCCTCTCCTCCCTCCCCCCACTCCTCCCCCTCATCACCATACTCATCCCCCCACCCTGCCCCCTCGACTGCACCCTGCCCCCCCACCACCTTACCCCCCTTGCCTCTGCTATCCACCTCATCCTCATCATAGTCTTCCTCGTTAACAGATCTTCCGCCAAGAGCAGTGCCCCCTTCGTTCCCATTCACAACATCAGCAGCACCAGCAGCACCACTGTGAGCTCCCTCACCGCTCTGCCCTCTTCCCTCTTCCTCTTGCCTCTCCTGCCCAGCCCTCCCCATGCCTCTCCCTCCCACCTCACCTCCTTCCCCACTCCCCTCTCCACCAAGAAATCCTGCACCAGCACCACCCGCACCAGAAGCCACCTCCCCTGCTCCACCAGCACCAGAGGCAGCAATCTCCCTCTCACTGCTCACACCGCTATCACCCCCAGGCAGCAGCGGTGGGAGGCGGCAGAAGTGGTCTTCGATGCCCCCGCAGCAGCTGAGCAGGTTGGTGCGCGCTAGGGCATGCAGCAGCGACTCCAGCACCAGCAGTGATGGGCGGCGGTGTAGCTCTGACCGCACTGAAGGAACGTGCATGGGGCTGGGAGAAATAGGTGGGACAAGGGGTGGGGAAGGGGTGCGGAGGGGTGGAGAAGGATCAGAAGCAGAGAGGGTCCTGAGTGCCCCCGCAGCAAATGAGCAGGTTGGTGCGCGCCAGTGCGTGTAGCAGTGACTCTAGCACCAGCAGGGATGGGCGGCGGTGCAGCTCTGAACGCACTGAGGGGACGTGCATGGGGCTGGGAGCAAGGGGTCGGGAAAGGGTGGGAAGGGGTGAGGAGGCGTAGAGAAGGAACCGAAGCAGAAGTGGTCGTGAGTGCCCCCACAGCAGGTGAGCAGGTTGGTGCGCGACAGTGCATGCACCAAGGACTCCAGCACCCGCAGGGACGGGCGCTAGTGCAGCTGCATGCACTGAAGGGGTGTGTATGGAGTTGGGGGGAAGGGTGGGAGACAAGGGAGGAGAAGTGAGAGCAGGAGGTGAGGAGGAGGTTGATGGGGGCGTACGATTAGGTCTATGGGGCGCAGCGGCGGTACAGCTCTAAACGTAATGAGGGCATGTGCTGTGCACAGGGATGAGTCTGGTTTTGAGTCGACTCAAAACACGGTAGAGCTGTAAACATAATGAGGGCACATGCACAGGGATGAGAAGAAAAGTTAGAGCATGCAGATACGGGCAAAGCTAAAACAGTGGCGACTTTTGAGGCGTCTAAGGGCGCTGCGGCGGTGCAGCTCTAAATGTAATGAGGGCATGCGCACAGGGATGAGAAGAAAGGTAGGCTAGAGTATGCAGATACGGGCAAAGTTAAAACAGTGGAGCTGACTCAGGGGTTACATGGTCTTTGCTTGATGACAGTTGGGTGTAGCAGCGATATTAGATAAGTGTGAGAAGACCCACCTCTGCAGCACATGCACGGAGGCGTTGCGGATAAGGCCAAACAATGTGAGCTTGTCGCACGCATGCAGCAGCAGGTACAGCACCGGCCAGTGCGGGGGCATGCGAGGCATGGGGATGGGGATGGGGATGGCCGCTTCCCCTGCTGCCGCTGCTGCCCCTGCTGCCCCCCCAGATTTTGCCACAGTAGCAGCGGTAGCACTCGAAGCAGCACCAGATGCGGCGGTGGAAGAAGCAGCATCAGAGGCGGCACGGTGGGCAGACATGGGAGCACCAATGGCACATCGGAAGCGGTGGGCAAAGGCGTTGAAGAGGCGGCGAGCTTCGTCTGTTAGTGCCGGGGGAAGGAAGAGGGCCTGAGGATGGGAGACAGGGGTGAATAGGAAGAGGAAGAGGAGAGAGGGAGGGAGGGAGAAGGAATGGGGGCAGGAAGCATGGACGGATGGGGAGCAGTTCAAACCCTCCAGAGCACAGGGTGGTTCTCCATACGCTCCATGGCAGAATTGAGTCGACTCAAAAATTAGCTATCCAGAGCATAGGGTGGTGCTCCATACACTCCATGCCAGAACAATCTTTGAGGCACCCCCACAACGGATAACAGGTTTGTAGTACAGGCAATGCTAAATCTGTCTCACTTCTGAGAATTCTCAAAAACTTAAATACGGTCTATGCTAATGCTAAAAGTGTTTTCGCTCACCTCATCCTCCTCGCCTGCACCCGTATCCCCGCGTCGTTTGCCTACGTGCCCCCTGCGCACACCCAGCTGCTGTAACGCTGGCAGCCAGGGCGGTGAGGCAACAAGGGCCGAGCTGAAAGGCAGTGAGAAGGTGCCAGAGAGCGAGGGGAGGGACAGGGGGCCGAGGTTTTGGAAGGAAAGGTGCAGGGAGGAAGAGAAGGCGAAGGGGGATCATGAGGCGCCTTGCAGCAAGTCAAAATCACAGTCACCATGGTTGCCACACTCCACACAAGCAAGCGACTCGAGCCTTGACTCGTCTCGCCGACTTTGAGTAGCCCCCTCCCACTATTTTCTCAGGGCCACACACACGATTAGTCCGATGTTGACTTGACTCGACTCGTTCCATCCAATGAAGAGTTGAGAGGTTTCGTGACTAATGAGTCAACCAGAAATCCACTAATCTGAGATGGTACCAGGTCTCCGACCCGACCCGACCTGACGTGACCTGCACCTATTCGACCAGCCCCATCAGTCACGAACCGATCCCACCCAAACCAACCCAACCCATCCTGAACCGACCCGTCCCGGCCCGAACCGAATCGAACCGACCTGAACCGAACCAGCAGAGACGACCCCAACCCAACCCCGACACAAACCTGACCCCGACACAACCCCGACCCCAACCCGACCCTGACCCAACCACGACCTTGACCCCGGCCGCGCCCCGACCCAACCCGACATGTGCTGATGTGAGGCCTCCTCTGTCACGCCCAACTGATGCATCCCATGGAGGGCAGTGAGCAGCGATGGTCATGGCCACCCCCGCCTTACAACAGAACTCCTTCCCCCATCGACCATCACACTACTAATGGCCGCTGCATACACTCATGCTCTATGGGCCATTCCACTCACTCCCCGTACTCTCACTCCCCCCCGCGCTCTCACTCCCCCCCGTACTCTCACTCCGTACTCTCACTCCCCCCCGCACTCTCACTCCCACTCTCACTCCCCACTCTCTCACTCCCCAATCTCTCACTCCCCACTCTCACAATCCCCACTTTCTCACTCCCCACTTTCTCACTCCCCACACTCTCACTCCCCATGCACTCACACCCCACACTCCCACTCCCCACTCTCACTCCCCACTCTCACTCCCCACTCTCACTCCCCACACTCTCACTCCCCACTCTCACTCCCCACTCTCACTCCCCACACTCTCACTCCCCACACTCTCACTTCCCACTCTCACTCCCCACACTCTCACTCCCCACTCTCACTCCCCAAACTCCCCCGTCTCCACAACCTCACTCCCACACTCTCACTCCCCACACTCTCACTCCCCACTTCTCACTCCCACACTCACTCCCCACACTCTCACTCCCCACGTTTTCACTCCCCACTTCTCACTCTCCCCACTCTCACTCCCCACTCTCTCACTCCTCACACCTATCAGCACGCAGGTATACCACAGAGTGGATTCATCAGCTTCAATTTTTTTACTTCAGAGTCAAATCATAATCACACCCCACACTCTTACTCCCAAATCTCTCACTCCCCACACTCTTACTCCCCACACTCTCACCTGTCAGCACGCAGGTATGCCTCCGATCGGCCCTTCAGCCCCAGCAAGCGTCGCCGCCCCACCCCTCTCCCCCCTCCTCTCCCCCCTCCTCTCCCCGCTCCTCTCCCCCTTCCCTTGGTGAGCCCCCTCCCCGTGCCCCCTCCCCCCGCCCCTCCCCCCACCTCATGTGAGCCGTGCATGGCCCCTCCACCCCTCCCTCCCACCTCCATCCACATGTCAGTGCGACTGCCCAGGCTGGTGGGGGGAGAGAGGGGGGAATGAAAGGGAGATGGGAGAGAGAAAGAAGGGCTTATGAGTCAGAAAGAAAGAGTCCCTTCCCATCGTCTCCCTTCCCCTCCCTTACCCCCACCTCCACCCACAGGTCAGTGCGAGTGCCCAGGCTGGTGGGAAGAGGAAGTGTTGAAAGGGAGATGGGAGAGAGAGAAAAAAAAAGACTTGAGATTCAGAGAAAAAAGACTTGATATTCAGAGAAAAAAGACCTGAGATTGAGCTCCCCCCAGGTTCCCCCACCTCCACCCACACACCCTTCCGTGCCATTGCCCAGGCTTGTTGCTCCCATGCTGCCGTGAAACGTGACCAATCCGCATGCCCCCCACTCACATGCACTCAGTACACAGCGATACAGACTGAACTGCTTTGCACCACACATGGATAAGCACAGGGCACATGCACCCATCACACACAGGCAGCAGCACGCGTGGGCTTGCAGGTGGGTGGGCGGGGAGTGGTGCCCCATGCGCAGCATGAGGGAGTGCGAATCAGCACGTGCACACACCAATGCACGCACCCAGTGCATACTTTTTCAGCACACTCACACGTAGTGCCTCCAGGCAGGTGGGGCGGGGTGTGCAGTCCCATGCGCAGCACGAGGGAGTGCGAGTCAACACACGCACACACCCAGTGCACAAATGTTTGATGCACTCACACATAGGCCTGCAGGCGGGTGGGCGGGGTGTGCTGTCCCATGCGCAGCACGAGGGCATGCGAGTCAATGGCTGCCCCCAGGTGAGGCGCGGAGGGCGCGTGAGAGAGGTGAGGACCCACCACAGCACAGGAACTGATTAGAAGGAGGGAGGGGGCAAGGAGGGGAGGGGCAGGAAAGAGGGGGGGGTGTGGGATGGGGCGAAGGAAGGTGCAGAGGGGTGGAGATGTGAGGCGCAGAGGGCGCATGGGAGAGGTGAGGAACCACCACGGCACAGCAGCTGAGAGAAGAGGGGAAATGTTTGCAGGTTGGGGAGGGAGGGAGAGATATGGTGGGTGATGTTGGTGGTGGAAGGGGCATGGAAGAGGAGAGGAGAGGAGAGGAGAGGAGAGGAGAGGAGAGGAGAGGAGAGGAGAGGAGAGGAGATGAGAGGAGAGGAGAGGAGAGGAGATGAGAGCACTTGATGATGCATGCACTTCATGATGCATGCACTTGATGATGCATGCACTTGATGATGCATGCACTTGATGATGCATGCACTTGATGATGCATGCACTTGATGATGCATGCACTTGATGATGCATGCACTTGATGATGCATGCACTTGATGATGCATGCACTTGATGATGCATGCACTTGATGATGCATGCACTTGATGATGCATGCACTTGATGATGCATGCACTTGATGATGCATGCACTTGATGACGCATGCACTTGATGACGCATGCACTTGATGATGCATGCACTTGATGATGCATGCACTTGATGATGCATGCACTTGATGATGCATGCACTTGATGATGCATGCACTTGATGATGCATGCACTTGATGATGCATGCACTTGATGATGCATGCACTTGATGATGCATGCACTTGATGATGCATGCACTTGATGATGCATGCACTTGATGATGCATGCACTTGATGATGCATGCACTTGATGATGCATGCACTTGATGATGCATGCACTTGATGATGCATGCACTTGATGATGCATGCACTCAATGTGCTTATCGCATTCTGCGACTAGCTCAGGTATTTGAACTACTGATCTTGGTTCTAGCGTAGAGGCTGGTGCGCTACAATTTTTGTAGAAAAAAATTGCACTAAACATTATTAAACCCACTGCAACCACAATAAAGTTTAGCTTTAAGTATTGCCCCAATATTCAATAAGTGGTACCCCTCACATATTGAATATCCTTTGTGATCATTTCGAAACAGATTCAACGCGATGTATCTCAGAAACAAACGTCAGAGCAAGTTGCAGAACATGAACCAAACAAACAGACGACGAAACGTAGGATGATGGCTTATATATACACACCCAAGGGAAGGAGCACCGCTGCTGTTGCTGCTCTGACCCCCAACACCAGCACCACTCTCGCTCTCCACCCTGCCCCTCTCCCCTCCTCTTCCCTCCCTCACTCGCCTCGCCCTCACAGCCATGAGTGCCCCCACTGCTGCCAACCCATCAACTCCCGGCCACTCCCCCACCATCACCCCCTCACACTCCCTCACTCGCCCTCCCTCTTTCCCTCCCCCAACCCCTCCTCTCCTTCCTCCTCGCTTCCTCCTCCTTTCCTGCAACCCCCTACCGTTGCTGATCCCACCGTCCCTCCCCCTGCCACCCGCTCTCCTTCTCCCTCCTCGCACTGCATGCTCCTTACCCACTCTCTCCCCGGCTCTTCTCACTCCCCCCACCCGTCGCTTCACCCAAAACTTCCCTGTATCCTCCGCTCTCTCCTCCCATCTTGTCTCCGTTCCTGCCCTTCCGCTCCTCTCCATCCTCCCCCGCTCCTCCTCACTCCAGTCTACAGCCAACCCCAGCACTGACCCCTCCTCCTCTATCCCTCTATCAATCGCCACTCCATGACTTCTGTTCCCTCTGCCGCCACCACCGCCACCGTCACCACCGCTACCGCTGCTGCTGCTGCTGCTGCTGCTGCTGCTGCTCCCAGAGTGCTTGGCAGTAGAATCCACATGGGATGTGAAGCCTGGGAGCCTGTTGCTGGCTGTGACTGTACCTATGGGGTGGCAAAGAGAGATCAGGGCATCAGGCAGAAGCAGGGATGCAAGAAGAGGTAAGGAGTTGCAAGTTCTGACTGGGTATGGACAAGACAAGCATGATAATGCTGCTTTTTGAGGTGCCTCAAAAGGAGTTGCAAGTTCTGACTGGGTATGGACAAGACAAGCATGATAATGCTGCTTTTTGAGGTGCCTCAAAAGGAGTTGCAAGTTCTGACTGGGTATGGACAAGACGAGCATGATAATGCTGCTTTTTGAGGTGCCTCAAAAGGAGTTGCAAGTTCTGACTGGGTATGGACAAGACAAGCATGATAATGCTGCTTTTTGAGGTGCCTCAAAAGGAGTTGCAAGTTCTGACTGGGTATGGACAAGACAAGCATGATAATGCTGCTTTTTGAGGTGCCTCAAAAGGAGTTGCAAGTTCTGACTGGGTATGGACAAGACAAGCATGATAATGCTGCTTTTTGAGGTGCCTCAAAAAGAGTTGCAAGTTCTGACTGGGTATGGACAAGACAAGCATGATAATGCTGCTTTTTGAGGTGCCTCAAAAAGAGTTGCAAGTTTTGACTGGGTATGGACAAGACAAGCATGATAATGCTGCTTTTTGAGGTGCCTCAAAAAGAGTTGCAAGTTTTGACTGGGTATGGACAAGACAAGCATGATAATGCTGCTTTTTGAGGTGCCTCAAAAAGAGTTGCAAGTTTTGACTGGGTATGGACAAGACAAGCATGATAATGCTGCTTTTTGAGGTGCCTCAAAAGGAGTTGCAAGTTCTGACTGGGTATGGACAAGACAAGCATGATAATGCTGCTTTTTGAGGTGCCTCAAAAAGAGTTGCAAGTTCTGACTGGGTATGGACAAGACAAGCATGATAATGCTGCTTTTTGAGGTGCCTCAAAAGGAGTTGCAAGTTCTGACTGGGTATGGACAAGACAAGCATGATAATGCTGCTTTTTGAGGTGCCTCAAAAGGAGTTGCAAGTTCTGACTGGGTATGGACAAGACAAGCATGATAATGCTGCTTTTTGAGGTGCCTCAAAAGGAGTTGCAAGTTCTGACTGGGTATGGACAAGACAAGCATGATAATGCTGCTTTTTGAGGTGCCTCAAAAGGAGTTGCAAGTTCTGACTGGGTATGGACAAGACAAGCATGATAATGCTGCTTTTTGAGGTGCCTCAAAAGGAGTTGCAAGTTCTGACTGGGTATGGACAAGACAAGCATGATAATGCTGCTTTTTGAGGTGCCTCAAAAGGAGTTGCAAGTTCTGACTGGGTATGGACAAGACAAGCATGATAATGCTGCTTTTTGAGGTGCCTCAAAAGGAGTTGCAAGTTCTGACTGGGTATGGACAAGACAAGCATGATAATGCTGCTTTTTGAGGTGCCTCAAAAGGAGTTGCAAGTTCTGACTGGGTATGGACAAGACAAGCATGATAATGCTGCTTTTTGAGGTGCCTCAAAAGGAGTTGCAAGTTCTGACTGGGTATGGACAAGACAAGCATGATAATGCTGCTTTTTGAGGTGCCTCAAAAAGAGTTGCAAGTTCTGACTGGGTATGGACAAGACAAGCATGATAATGCTGCTTTTTGAGGTGCCTCAAAAGGAGTTGCAAGTTCTGACTGGGTATGGACAAGACAAGCATGATAATGCTGCTTTTTGAGGTGCCTCAAAAGGAGTTGCAAGTTCTGACTGGGTATGGACAAGACAAGCATGATAATGCTGCTTTTTGAGGTGCCTCAAAAGGAGTTGCAAGTTCTGACTGGGTATGGACAAGACAAGCATGATAATGCTGCTTTTTGAGGTGCCTCAAAAGGAGTTGCAAGTTCTGACTGGGTATGGACAAGACAAGCATGATAATGCTGCTTTTTGAGGTGCCTCAAAAAGAGTTGCAAGTTCTGACTGGGTATGGACAAGACAAGCATGATAATGCTGCTTTTTGAGGTGCCTCAAAAGGAGTTGCAAGTTCTGACTGGGTATGGACAAGACAAGCATGATAATGCTGCTTTTTGAGGTGCCTCAAAAGGAGTTGCAAGTTCTGACTGGGTATGGACAAGACAAGCATGATAATGCTGCTTTTTGAGGTGCCTCAAAAGGAGTTGCAAGTTCTGACTGGGTATGGACAAGACAAGCATGATAATGCTGCTTTTTGAGGTGCCTCAAAAGGAGTTGCAAGTTCTGACTGGGTATGGACAAGACAAGCATGATAATGCTGCTTTTTGAGGTGCCTCAAAAGGAGTTGCAAGTTCTGACTGGGTATGGACAAGACAAGCATGATAATGCTGCTTTTTGAGGTGCCTCAAAAGGAGTTGCAAGTTCTGACTGGGTATGGACAAGACAAGCATGATAATGCTGCTTTTTGAGGTGCCTCAAAAGGAGTTGCAAGTTCTGACTGGGTATGGACAAGACAAGCATGATAATGCTGCTTTTTGAGGTGCCTCAAAAGGAGTTGCAAGTTCTGACTGGGTATGGACAAGACAAGCATGATAATGCTGCTTTTTGAGGTGCCTCAAAAGGAGTTGCAAGTTCTGACTGGGTATGGACAAGACAAGCATGATAATGCTGCTTTTTGAGGTGCCTCAAAAGGAGTTGCAAGTTCTGACTGGGTATGGACAAGACAAGCATGATAATGCTGCTTTTTGAGGTGCCTCAAAAGGAGTTGCAAGTTCTGACTGGGTATGGACAAGACAAGCATGATAATGCTGCTTTTTGAGGTGCCTCAAAAAGAGTTGCAAGTTCTGACTGGGTATGGACAAGACAAGCATGATAATGCTGCTTTTTGAGGTGCCTCAAAAGGAGTTGCAAGTTCTGACTGGGTATGGACAAGACAAGCATGATAATGCTGCTTTTTGAGGTGCCTCAAAAAGAGTTGCAAGTTCTGACTGGGTATGGACAAGACAAGCATGATAATGCTGCTTTTTGAGGTGCCTCAAAAGGAGTTGCAAGTTCTGACTGGGTATGGACAAGACAAGCATGATAATGCTGCTTTTTGAGGTGCCTCAAAAGGAGTTGCAAGTTCTGACTGGGTATGGACAAGACAAGCATGATAATGCTGCTTTTTGAGGTGCCTCAAAAGGAGTTGCAAGTTCTGACTGGGTATGGACAAGACAAGCATGATAATGCTGCTTTTTGAGGTGCCTCAAAAGGAGTTGCAAGTTCTGACTGGGTATGGACAAGACAAGCATGATAATGCTGCTTTTTGAGGTGCCTCAAAAGGAGTTGCAAGTTCTGACTGGGTATGGACAAGACAAGCATGATAATGCTGCTTTTTGAGGTGCCTCAAAAGGAGTTGCAAGTTCTGACTGGGTATGGACAAGACAAGCATGATAATGCTGCTTTTTGAGGTGCCTCAAAAGGAGTTGCAAGTTCTGACTGGGTATGGACAAGACAAGCATGATAATGCTGCTTTTTGAGGTGCCTCAAAAGGAGTTGCAAGTTCTGACTGGGTATGGACAAGACAAGCATGATAATGCTGCTTTTTGAGGTGCCTCAAAAGGAGTTGCAAGTTCTGACTGGGTATGGACAAGACAAGCATGATAATGCTGCTTTTTGAGGTGCCTCAAAAAGAGTTGCAAGTTCTGACTGGGTATGGACAAGACAAGCATGATAATGCTGCTTTTTGAGGTGCCTCAAAAGGAGTTGCAAGTTCTGACTGGGTATGGACAAGACAAGCATGATAATGCTGCTTTTTGAGGTGCCTCAAAAAGAGTTGCAAGTTCTGACTGGGTATGGACAAGACAAGCATGATAATGCTGCTTTTTGAGGTGCCTCAAAAGGAGTTGCAAGTTCTGACTGGGTATGGACAAGACAAGCATGATAATGCTGCTTTTTGAGGTGCCTCAAAAGGAGTTGCAAGTTCTGACTGGGTATGGACAAGACAAGCATGATAATGCTGCTTTTTGAGGTGCCTCAAAAGGAGTTGCAAGTTCTGACTGGGTATGGACAAGACAAGCATGATAATGCTGCTTTTTGAGGTGCCTCAAAAGGAGTTGCAAGTTCTGACTGGGTATGGACAAGACAAGCATGATAATGCTGCTTTTTGAGGTGCCTCAAAAGGAGTTGCAAGTTCTGACTGGGTATGGACAAGACAAGCATGATAATGCTGCTTTTTGAGGTGCCTCAAAAGGAGTTGCAAGTTCTGACTGGGTATGGACAAGACAAGCATGATAATGCTGCTTTTTGAGGTGCCTCAAAAGGAGTTGCAAGTTCTGACTGGGTATGGACAAGACAAGCATGATAATGCTGCTTTTTGAGGTGCCTCAAAAGGAGTTGCAAGTTCTGACTGGGTATGGACAAGACAAGCATGATAATGCTGCTTTTTGAGGTGCCTCAAAAGGAGTTGCAAGTTCTGACTGGGTATGGACAAGACAAGCATGATAATGCTGCTTTTTGAGGTGCCTCAAAAAGAGTTGCAAGTTCTGACTGGTATGGACAAGACAAGCATGATAATGCTGCTTTTTGAGGTGCCTCAAAAGGAGTTGCAAGTTCTGACTGGGTATGGACAAGACAAGCATGATAATGCTGCTTTTTGAGGTGCCTCAAAAAGAGTTGCAAGTTCTGACTGGGTATGGACAAGACAAGCATGATAATGCTGCTTTTTGAGGTGCCTCAAAAAGAGTTGCAAGTTTTGACTGGGTATGGACAAGACAAGCATGATAATGCTGCTTTTTGAGGTGCCTCAAAAAGAGTTGCAAGTTTTGACTGGGTATGGACAAGACAAGCATGATAATGCTGCTTTTTGAGGTGCCTCAAAAAGAGTTGCAAGTTTTGACTGGGTATGGACAAGACAAGCATGATAATGCTGCTTTTTGAGGTGCCTCAAAAGGAGTTGCAAGTTCTGACTGGGTATGGACAAGACAAGCATGATAATGCTGCTTTTTGAGGTGCCTCAAAAGGAGTTGCAAGTTCTGACTGGGTATGGACAAGACAAGCATGATAATGCTGCTTTTTGAGGTGCCTCAAAAGGAGTTGCAAGTTCTGACTGGGTATGGACAAGACAAGCATGATAATGCTGCTTTTTGAGGTGCCTCAAAAGGAGTTGCAAGTTCTGACTGGGTATGGACAAGACAAGCATGATAATGCTGCTTTTTGAGGTGCCTCAAAAG